AACCTCTTATCAACAAGCACCTCCTCTAGCTCCCAGAAACTCCGATTCATCCGGCAAAAGCTCCGACACCACCCTTTCTGCCTCGTCAATTACATCCTCTGCTCTCCCGACCCCAGATATCGGCCCCGCACCCCTGTCGCTTCCATTGGAGCAGACGACCGCTTTGGGGAATATGCCAGATGCAGTCTCGAATCCGAGAGTTCAACCTGCCGTTCCAAGGCCCGACACACAGGGTGGCGTTGTGTCGCCTACGTCTCAAGCGTCTGCCTCTTCGGATACACCAATAGGACCAGCATCTGTGCCCGTGCATGGCCCTTTCTCCATCGTAATCCTATGTCCGCTCAAAAACTCCCGGCAAGCCATAAAGCAGCACATTGAGCAGGTCGTCCCTCATGAGATCTCGTTCAAGGTCACCACGTTAGTTGATGTTGATGAATGGAAAGATGCGATGCACTCTGCTTCCGATGCCCAACCTTGCACACATATTGTCTTGAACCTTCCAACTGATGATATCTTGGAGGTCATTCAGCACATGTCAGAACCTGCCTTGGATCCCGCGCCCGTCATCGTCATAATCGCAGACCTTTACCAAAAGCGCCAAATCAGCTCACGGGTCAAACAGCTAGCAGCTTCAGGAAAGCAGGTTTTCATTGTGCCGAAGCCTGTCAAACCTTCTGCTTTCTCAAGTATTTTCGATCCCAAGAGCAAGCGCGAGCTGAGCAAGGATCGGAACCAAGACATGGCGCGCGAGATCAATAACAACTTCAAGACCGTCTCCAAGATGGTCAAAGAAGTTTTGGGCAACAAGGGTTATCGAATCTTGCTCGTCGAGGATGACGAAACCAACCGAGATGTAAGTTTATCTATGGGAACGTCGTTGAATCGATTGCTAACTCATATATAGGTCATGCTGAAGTATTTGGACAAGATCAAGCTGATGTCGGAGACTGCATCCAATGGACTGGAATGCACTAACATGGTGCTCTCTAAAGAGCCAGGATATTATTCTCTCATCATCGTGAGCTTTACTGTACATTCCTTCTTCCCACACAAAGCTAACCGCGTTGATTCGTAGTGTGATATCCAGATGCCCATCAAGAACGGTTACGATACCTGTAGAGATATTCGTGACTGGGAACAAAAAAACCATTACCCACAGATTCCAATCATGGCTCTTTCAGCAAACGCAATGACAGATCAAATTGAAAACGCTGCTCGTGCAGGTTTCAATGACTACGTTACCAAGCCGATCAAACACAATGAATTGGGCAAGATGATGATGGGCCTTCTCGAGCCCGGTCGCCCACTCATGCTTCTGCGAGACCGTCTTAACCCAGACCGTCTTAACCCAGAACAACAACAGCCCATCGCTACTCGCCGCTAGGGACTTCCCCGGGTCTTTTCCTGCCCTAGCAATCTTCACCCCTTACATCTTTGCTGCTTTGATAGCATGTCTTTGTTTTAATATTCCCTTTCTTTTATATATGTATATAGCCAGACGTATCCCACTCCTCCGGATCTTGCATCTGATATTTTTACGATGGACCACGGAGTGACGTTTTGGTGATTCATTTTCGATGGAAATGTCCTGTCGGATTTGGTGGATTGCACAGAAGAGCCATTGGAAGCTCGCCAAACGTGCATGAAGCGTGCTCGTTTACATTTCAGGGCTGATCCCACCGTTTTGGAAGTCCTATTGCGACATTTGCATTTGCACAGGGTCAGGAGGGCATCTATCCTTCCCTCGTTTTCTTTACTCTGTCCATTCAAGAGTACAGATGCCCTCCGCCCTCCGAGCCTGTGCATCGTGGCGTCAGTGCTCTAATTCTCTCTCGATTTTGGGTTTACCAAGCAAGCAGAATCCCTCTTGTTTATGTTTCTTTTTGGCCTTTCTTTACTTTCTTGTGATACCAGATTATGAGCGCATGGCACCTGTCTATTTTCTGGATCTGTATTTGTTAATAATCCAAATCTTTTTACTTTCTTTCTCTGTGTCCTCTTTCTTTTCTGGGGTTTAATATGCTTTCTGCTTTGGCGTTTGGACGGTGCATGGAACAGGATGCCAGATACTTGGGCTTCTCATGGGTACTTTTTTCTTATGGGCGTTTACAAGGTTGGCATATATATCGTAATTGGATCACTTGCTACGATCTAAAACAGCCAAGATCTCATTATCAAGTACTGTCTTTATCTGCGTGGATGATAGTAGTTGAGGTTAATGCGGGCTATTAATATAAACCATTAAATATGATGATTAAAAGAGGCTGAAAAATACTCCAATAAGGTACCATTAGGCACCACAGGTACATTGTAAAGACCTTGGGAGTGTACGGCATTATAAATCAATGTAAAGTCGACAAATAAACCAATCAGAAATAGTATACGAGATGAACTAGACCCTATACTACGGAGTAGAGTGATAATTCCCAAAAAGGGAAAGCGAGTGAGTTGGCCATGGCGCATGTGGCGGTGAAGGAAGTAGAAAATCCCCGCAACCCCCACTTGTGCGCTGGAAAAACAATAAACGGGTTGGATTTGGATTGATCTTGGATTTATTGAATTCATTCGACTGCAGTCTGGGATTTGAATTCGAATTTGGCATATTTGAAGAGGCAAAGGTCGTGAACATGGTCGATTCAAACTTGGAAACACTTTACACACACTACCCGGGTAATCCTAGAAAAACACAACACATTAATTGAGCGCCATAGTCAATAAAAGCAGGCACAGATACAATTCTTCTCAATATTCGGACCAAAACAGCGGGCTCGTGTAACCTTTACAAGGAAACTCTGTTGGCATAGTACCTATACGGAGTATTAACATTGGAAGGATCAAAGCAACACGCCTTTGAGTCTGAAGGCTGAGTTAAAGGAGGGGCGGATCAAGACTGAGTTGGTGGAAAGACTATGGCGAAGAGCGAAAGGATAAAAAAAATTGTATGGCCCATTTCAAGCCGAGGTGTGCACTGCGCGTCATTAGTTGCCGTGCTGCCCGATGTTAGCCCTGGCCGAATAAGAGATCGAGCTCTGCCATTTTCAGCATAAAGCAAGATGAATGGCACCCCTGCAATATTAATCGAATCAGGGTTCTTGATGACAGATTGGAAATGGAAGAGGGTGGTGTCACAGGGTTCCTCGGTAACATTGTGGGTTGACGGGGCACATCGTGAGTCGTCAGGCTGTAAGGCATGGAGGTTGGCTTTTAGGCACAGTGATGCATCAACTAGCGGGAAGAAAAACGAGAACAAGGAGACTTAGAGCCAGCAAGGCAGATCCAGATCCAGTTTGGAACACCCGGACCTCGAAGGATGTGCCCTGCAGTCCCATTTCCTTCCCACCTAGTTGGGCCTGCGTGGTGTTCATGTCAGCAAGTATCTGGGACCAATTATGAAGGGTTGTGGGCGGCACAGCATTTTCTCATAGAGTATGTCCGACGGGGCTTGCCGGATGGCTTCGCTTTATCATACAGGCCCCATAGCTATCGTCAAGCAAGTCATCGACCATCTGCATAGAGTGGGGGCCAGCTGCGTGCTCTCTTTCCACATTAATGGGCGTCTAGAGCGCTTGTCCATGCAGCAATTCCCTTTGTTCTGCTGCCAATGGATCTGCTGGCTATTGGTGGATTCGTGCGAGAAGGGGGGGCTTTCTCGTCGTTGTGCAGCAATAACAGCCGCATGCAGGCAGACGAACAGAGGGACGGGGATCAATGTTCACTTTGTGTTTTTTGACTTCTTTGTCTTGTCGTTCGACCTGGACTTATGGCGCATTGGTCACACCACTTTGCCTTTTTGCCCATATATTGCCGGGATGATTCTTGTTAGAACCTTGCAAAGGAAGCATGGGCTCACTGATTCGGGAACAGTTTCGAATGTCAATCTTTCTCACGGTCCTTTAGTTCATGCAGTGGTGTCCAACAATATCCGTGTGACCTGGAATTGAATGCAGCGATCCTCATTTTTGGGCTTTTGGGCTCCGATCCCAAAGATGATGTAAGGCCGCGAGACATCCCGATCTTTTGGGTTTTCGCGGAATGGCGTATTTGACCACAACCATACAACTTCAACGTTTGTATATGTATAGAAAACCGATAAACTAACCATCGTGTTAGACTTGGACAGTTAGAAGGGGAAATATGTCATACCGGTTCTTGTGTAGTTCGTCTTATCTTTGGGGCTTTTGTTGAACGAATCAACCTTGATCGTCCTCTTCCCAGCCACCGAATTTCTCAAGAAAAAATCCAGTCTAATGGGGACGAGAGAGGGGAAAATGAGATAATTGTGAGAGAGGAAAAGAAAAAAAAAGTCAAGAAAAAGTGGGCGAAGGAAGGATGGCCAAGGCGATATTTATATCTCACCTTCCCACCAACTCCACTCATCCTACTCTTTTCAAACCCATCTTCCATGTCCTTTCTAGTCAATTCCTGAACACATACAGTCCACGCTTTGGCCCCGAAAGTTAGACCAGGAAGAGGGGCGTAGATCGAGACCGGATTTGCACCACGCCGCCATGGAATGGCGGAAACCCTAGTGGAGGAAGGCTGGCGTCCTCGACCAGACAAATTGAGTCTTTTTTTCACTCTGAGCGGGGTCAAGGCGTTTCAAGAGGCAAATAGGCGGGCAGATACGGAGACGTACGTGCAGACGGAGCTCGGGGATTGGGGGTACAGAGAGAGGGGTGCGAGTCAATGTGCCCCGAGTGGTCCAATGGCTCCTTCGAGGCCTTCGCAATCCTTGCCATCACACTCGCCTCCACCAGAATAGGAGCATCCGCCGGACAGAAGACTTCCCGCAGGAGGTTATAAAATCTCCCATCTGGCCCGGGGGGGGATTGTCTTCCTTCTTCTTCCTTTCCCATCACTCCGAGTTAGGCCCGTTTGCACATTGTTCCGTATCCTTTCCATCTTCTTGATTCATCTTACTTCAGTGAAGTCCACTTGAGCTTCATACTTCTTCTTTACTCCAACTTTAACACTTGCTGTTGTTGCAGTCAATCGTCGTCATGGCCACCCAGCGTCACTATTACCAGCCTGCTGCCTACCCATACCACCATGCACCCTCCAAGGCGCCGGCGCCAGCATCTCTCTACCCAATTTCCAGAGTTTCTGGCTCCCCACCAGACTTCTCTGATGCAAGCACCACTGCCGGTAGTCGTTCCTCTGGCGGGCTTACCTTCAGCTCTGCCGGCGAGTACGACTCCAGCTTTGCATCGTACGCTGGCGTCGATGTCGTGGAGGTCCTGAGCGACCGCATGCAGGACGCATTTGATCCGACGCCATTGGACAAGGGTTTAGCACGACAAGCGCAGACGTGAGTTTCCCTGGAACACTTTCTCAGCATTCGCAATTCCACCCCCGCAGCGACCACCACCAGGAGATGGCGTTTCACAAAACAAGCCAAAGCAAGACATGCCAAGTTTCAGAAACACCAAGCTAACAACGCCTACACGCACAGATCTGGGCAGTTGAACGCAAAGCAGCAAGAACTCCTCGAGCTACAAGCTCTCGCGCAACGCCGACTGAAAGGCGCACGGGCGAATTTCTCCGAAGGCCTAAAAACCGCACGAGAGACAAAGCGCGACCTGGAATGGACGCAAAAGCGCGTCAGGTAAGCGAATCCACCTCTCCATCCGGGCAATGTGGTACGATGGACGTGCAAGTTCCGCTCCGCTCCGCGACAGGGGCTTCCGCTCCGCCGGTGTGAGCTTGGCACGTGCACGTCGATCAGCGCCGTGCCTGCGGCATTAGCGCCGATGAGAGTGCTTCTAGAAGGCTGACACACGTGGCTGGAAATAGTGCCCTGAAGACTAAGGCTGAGAAGGCTCATCCTGAAGAGTACCGTCGTGCTTCGAAGAAGTACGCCTATGATGACTACTGATTGGGCCTTGTTTGGGCTGCGATGGGTTGCTTGATGACTGATATGATGGGGTAACCCCCCTTGACTTGGAAAAATTGGGATCTTGGGATGGATATGGGGTTATTTTTGGATCTTGTAGCTTTTTCGTTGGGTTTGGCGCGCTTTGGATTCTTTGGTTGGGTCTTTGTATATCTTGGATAGGTAATTTGTGTCTCTTTACGTATATGTAGTAAAGAGCGTTCTCTGAGTGGTATTGGTTTTACCAGTTTTTCCGTATGGCCTAATAATTGTTGCCTTGGAGGCCTGTAATATGAGGCCTTGAAGTATGCCTGGATCTCTCTGGGGCCGTAGAGCACCGTTGACAGTCGTATGGTGTACTGTTGTGTTACTGCGAGTTTGACGTTGAAGACTGATGTATCTGGCCGGACACACTAAAACGGTTGTTACTTACATGTACAATTCAATACGAGCTAAGCAAACGTTGAAATTCAAAAGGGGTTTAGATACTCGATCTCTTGATTTATATAAAAGACCTGTAGTGTTTTGGGCTTGAGTGTTTGCAAGTAGTCAACACAACCAACTAGCATGACCCCAGCCTCTGTATGAACATGGAGCGAAACTGAATTAAAAAAATGACTTCGTCATACAGCGTTGGAACGATATTGTGTATGCCATTGTTAGTTCTCCCAAAATGTGCCGATCAAAGATTTGACTCGATGTTTGCGAGGTGATGGACTTGTATAGACACCAACGGAAGAGAAACAAGGATTGTAAGCACCTATATACTCCAGGACTAATCTAGTTACAATCCCAGCTGTATTCAGAAAAAGGAACGCCCGTTATAAAAAAATGTTTACTGGAAACTCCGTTCCTCTTCAATAGCACGGTTGATAACGCGAACAAAGCGGCCAACCTTGTCCGAATCCTGTTTGGCCGTTTCAATACCCAAGAGGATCTTCTTGATGCCGACGCTCAAGCGCCCGTCATCCGCAAGTCCACCGACTGACTCGAGAGCTTGCGCAATCTCCTGTGCGTCAAATGCACCGGATTTCTCCATGACGAATTGTAGTTCACCGAAGGAACTAACATTGGGAACCATGATATCCGAGTTGAAGGAGTTGTAGATATCTAGCTGCTTCATCAAGGCACGCTCAGTTGTCGTGGCCAGAACCAACAGACGACGTCCGTGGGTTGGCTGCTTCCTCAGGAAAACCATGAGAGCTTGCAGCACGCTGTTGCTGAAGCGAGGACCAATCGGCACCCAGTCGATGATTCGCTCGATGTTGTCAATGACAACAATACTTGTAGCACTCTTGTAGGCGCTGTCAAAGATTCGGCTGATGTGTGAGATCTTTGCTGGCTCGCTAAAGCCCACCATGTCCTCCGGACTGATCAACTTGATGAAGGGGAAGCCGGAGTCAATAGCAATCCGTGCTGCCAGGGCGGTTTTGCCGCTGCTAGGAGGGCCGTGAAGTAGGACAGAGAACAATGGAGTTGACTCAGCCACTCCAACTTGCTTGACGAATAACTCGCCTTCCCGCAGGATCTCGCTGATAGTCGGAGAATAGTCGATAATGCCATATGGAATGCGGCTGGACAGCTCTTCCTCAGACACACCAAAGGCAGGCTTGACTTCATCAAGAGAGTGGAGGAAGTCGGCTCGGTTGACCTTCATGTCTACCACATCCTCATTGATACTAGCCATAGTGCCGACTTTGACATGGCGGGAGAAAGCAAAGGACGAAGCAGACTTGACCAAACCTGCGATTTCAGCACCGGAAAAGTTCTTCGTCAAATGAGCAAGCTCGGCCAAGTCAACATCCGTATCCATGACATTATTCTTCCGCATCTTCTCGGTGTGGATGTTGAGGATTTGACTTCGACCATGTTCGTCGGGGAGCGAGATCTCCATGTGCACTTCTAAACGACCGGGACGCAGCAAAGCCTCGTCAATCATGTCCATTCGGTTGGTCATACCGATCAACAAGATGTTGTTCAGTTGGTCGACACCATCGAGCTTCGAAAGGAGCTGGTTGACCACGCTGTCGCCGACGCCGGTGCCACCGCCAGCTCCGCTACCACGCTGCTTGCACACTGCATCCAGCTCATCGAAGATGATGATATGGAGACCACTCTCATCACCCTTTTCTTTATACTCCTTCTCGGCATCCGCAAACATCTTTCGGATGTTTTCTTCCGACTGACCCACATACTTGTTCAGAACTTCTGGACCGTTGATAATCTTGGGCTCCCTAGCGTTAAGCATCTTTCCGATTTGTCGAGCAATGAGAGTTTTACCCGTTCCTGGAGGTCCATAAAGCAAGAGACCCTTAACGTGCTGAATACCAAGTTTCTCGACCAGACCAGGAGGGAAAATGCGAGAGGCGAAAGCACGACGGAAGATCGTACTGAACTCAGAGTCTAAACCACCAATACCCATGTCCTGGAACTTGAAGCCTGGTTGGATAATAGAGTTGGCCGCCGGGCGGCGGTTAGATGGCTTCACGTTGATGCCGGTCTGAGTATCCTTGAAAAAGTTAAGTTGAGTGTGGCGTGTGAGAATACCCCTGGCTGTAGGATCGGTCTCGACTTGTCCAGAACTAAGATCAGCCTTCTCTGACGTCAAATCAACCCGCTGAACGGTCTTGACCTGTAGTAAGAGCGGGATGCTCTTATTATCCATCAGGATTCTCTGGCCAGGCGAGAATAGTTGGTTCTCGAAATTCTGGGGTTTGTTAGCATGTATTCAGGACTGGAATGAAGTCGGCATACCCTAATCACCGCCTGTGCTAATTCATCTTGGTCGTAAGGAGCTTCAACCCGCTTCTTGGTAGATGCGAAGCTGACCTCAACATCCGCCGAGCCTAGGTAGGCCTGGCCGCCTTGGCTAAACGGATCGTACAGCTGCACCTTGATGGCATCTCTCAATCCGATGTTGGCCCATGTCCGCTGAGGGTCCGACATGCTCATGTAACCGGGGGAAACCTTCGAGAGGGCGGGCAGAGAAGACAAAGAGGTCATTGATAAGGAGGAGAACGTCGGTACCATCTCGTGAAGGTGGGATGTCCTGCGGCGAAACAGCGACGCTACTGCGTGTTAGTACCCTCCCGAGAATAAAAGGCCCGCCAGAGGATACTCACAGGTTTCCAAATGTGTAGTGTTCGTTCGGACTCTTGCTGGGATGAAGAGTCCAAGTCTGGCCTCCGCCTCTTTGTCCGGACTGCATCCTGGAAGGCATCTGCTGCTGCGGCGGTCTCCCTCCTGGTGGAGGTGGGCCTCCGTAACCCCTTATATCATCATACACATCAGTCATCGGCACATCATCATCACCATAGATCCGAGCTGCATAGCCTGCGCTGGACGAGGGGGAGCGATCGGTATCATACCGTGGGGGTGCTTGGTTGGGGTTCGGGTGACCCTGCGGGGAGGGTTGTCCGCTGGAGCTGAATGGATTCGGGATATTGCTGCGATTGAACATGATGGACCGTTTAATTGTCGCTAATCAGAGGTTGAGGGGAGAACCGTTGAAGCTATTGTTTTAGTGACACTGTGTCGGGAAAGGAGCAGGCAACCGTGCAAGTCAGTCGGCTCTGCAGCGCGGGTGACCTGGAGTCAATTCTCAAACTTTTATGTTCAAGGATTTGCTGGATATATGCTGATATCCAGAGCAAATCAAATTTAAAGGGAAGAGAAGAGAGTTGGAGCCGTCAAGCTTTCGACGGGGCATTTGGCCACCCCGGGAACAGCGTCGGGCCGTGGGGACGTCATTATCGATAAGACCAGCTCTTTGCTATCGAGCAACCTCCACGCAAGGGTCAGTTTCCAAGATGCCTCTGTAAGTTGGGGGTTTTCTTTCGATTTTTTAATATCTACGAATCCAGCTAATTATTTTATAGCCATCTACTCGGCAAAAAGTCATGGAACGTCTACAACGTCGAGAATATCGAACGCGTCAAGCGCGACGAGGCGCAAGCAAAAGCCCGCGAAGAAGAAGATGAACGTATTATGCAAGAGGTCGATGCCGAACGCAGGATCAAGATTCTTCGCGGCGAACGTCCGGCTACACCCCCACCGGCGCCCTCCCATCTGTCGTCTGAACTCGGGCCTCGATCAGACAAAAAGTCCGCTGGCGACGTTGGAGGATTTCGTAAGAGAAGACGCATTGCCGGGGAAGATGATACGGATCGAGATATACGATATGCTCGGGAGGATGCGGCGCAAGCAGTTGCTAAGCGGGAAGAGTTGATGCTCGCCTCTCGCAAGGCTGATACAGCACAAGCCCCGATCCTAGACAAGGCCGGCCATATCAACCTGTTCCCAGCCGCAAGTGCTAAAACAGAGAAGAATGCCGAAGCAGAGGCTGAAACTGCACGGAAGAAGCGCAGCTATGAAGACCAATACACAATGAGGTTCTCTAACGCCGCGGGCTTTAAGGAGACTATTGGTCGGAAACCGTGGTATTCCTCCTCAGAACAAAATGCAACAGCGCCAGGGGCGATGCCTGAGAAAGATGTCTGGGGTAATGAGGACCCAAGACGCAAAGAGAGAACACAGGCTCGAATGAGTGCGAATGACCCGCTCGCAGCCATAAAGCGGGGTGTGCGTCAGTTGAAAGCAACAGAGCAGGAAAGGAAACGGTGGAACGATGAGAAGCGAAGAGAGATCGAAACTCTGAAAGCCGAGGAAATACGGAGGTCAGGCCATCGGCGAAGGCGATCCGCGTCAGTGAACAGCCTTGATAGATTCAAACTAGATGCCCCAGACAGGGAACGTGAGAAGGACAGAAGAAGTTCTGACAGACATCATCGTCGCCGTCGAGATCAAAGCCGAGATCACTCTCATCATCGCTCTTATCATCACTCCTCTCATCGCAGTCATCGCCATCGCCACGACGAACGTTCTGAGGCTCCTAGGCGGGAAAAACATTCTGAAGCGCAGAATTAATTGTAGATGTTTCATTTGTTCTACGAGATCATGACTCAAATTACGACATCGATACCTATATTGCTTGTTCCTAAATAAGGGAACACCAAAAAAAAAATGTCTTCTTAGACATCTGAAAAAGACTACCAACAAAGACGTCACAAGGCCACAAACCTCATTTTTTTATATTCGCTGGGTTATATAAACCTTTTCTATGTAGGTGGTCATATCTCTTTTAGTTCATCAGAAAACGTATTAAAAGATCGCTCGATCCTATACGAGGCTCCATAGCTGGACCCCCTTCTCATTTGCATCGGACTCCCATTGAACACTGATGTCCACCCCCGAGAGCCCTTCTCGGTCTTCTCATAACCGATTTTGCCGGTGATGACTTGGCCCTTCTTCAAGGCCTGGGAACCTTGCTTAGCGTGGTCCTTGGCATGGTCAATGAGAAGGACAGTCTGTTGCCAGTGGGTCTCGGTTCCATGAGGACCAGTAGTGAACGAGACAATTCCCTTCTTTTGCATGTCTGAGGGGATGGCATCCTCAGGTAGAACAGACTCTCGGGAGGGCATGAAGAAGATGTCGAACCAGATAATCCATCCATCCAATGCATCAACATCCTGGTTCAAGGTGACCTGGAATTCCTTCAAGAACGACAGCTCCTCAACAGTGATGGTGTGCAGGGGAAGTGTCAAGAAAATCTGAGACTCTCCGACAACGGTCGTGGGCTGGTTGCTGCGAACCACAGCCTCATCGTAGATCTTGTGAAGCATGCTGTCCATCTTGAAACCGTAGACGTTGTGCCAGAACGAGATGTGCGACGCGATGAATTCCGGGTCGGCGTAAGGGGCGAGGCGCAGGGTAGCGTGAGAAGGAGCCATAAGACCACCAGGAGCGAGGTAACGATCTCTGGCGTAGATGACGGAATCAAACATAGCCTCGAAAAGGAGACCGTAACCCATCCATTCGGAGATGATGATATCGACCTTTTCGACGGGCAAAGTAACCTCTTCGATCTTTCCACGGATACACCTGGGATAGAGTCAGTACTTGTCTATTCCTTGGGGGATGGTTACGAGTCTTACGTGATCACATCTTCAAGGCCGTTGTCGTGGACAATTTCCTTAGCCCGGTCAATGATGTTCGAGTTGTCGACAGCAATGACCTTCTTTGCGCCAGCCTTGGCACAGAACATGGACAAGATACCAGTGCCACAGCCAACATCAAGAACAACCTTGTCCTTGAAAACATGCTTGTTTTCGTACACGAAATCGCGGTAAGAGTCGGTACGGATGGTGTCCTTGAGCATAGATTCGTGAATGCCTTTAGACTATGTTAGTTTTATATGAATGATAAATTTGAGCGAAATACCCTACCATTGTAAGCGTACGAGACGAAATATCCATCTTCAGCATCCTGCAATCTGTCGATAGCCTTGGCCGAGGGCTGAGGGTTCGATTCAGCAAGCTTATCATCCTCCTTCGACAATTGATCGTCCATCGACTTCTGCACAGCAAGACGGTACTCGGAGAATTGGGTCTGCAATCGCTCCAAGTTCTCCTGGAGTTCGAGAACCTGTCGGTTTGTCTCGGTGGCAGGGGCAGCGTCTTCGCCCTGTTCTTCGGCAAGATCGTCCAAGCTGTACAAGAGAGCATCGTCCTCCAAAACGGGCTTGAGATAAACATCATCCTCGAATTTGGACTTGGATGAAACATCGGGGGTGTTGTTTCCGTTCTTGACTTCGGTGCGGACGTAATTGACTAACTTGATGTTGTCGAGGAAATCCAAATCTAGAAGCGGAAAAATAATTAGCCTCAATTTTTGGACCTCCCGCAAGAGTAGTAGAAGGAAGCTGTACATACCAAGATCCTTCTGAATCTTCAATAGATCAAAATTGTACTTTTCCTTGCACTCCTTTAGCATTGAGCGTGCATCAGGGAAGACCTGCTCAGTGAAGAGGCCAACCACAGGCTGCGACTCATCATCGGGCTCGACATCTTCCCAGCCCTCCTCGTTGCTAGAATCGGAGGAATCCGATACCGAATGCGAGTCAGGGAATCTCTCACCCACAGGTGGATCCACGGTATTGGAAGCTGACATGACTTATAAATGGCCAATATCAAATTATTTCAACCTTGGAGGGGGAGGGGCAGAGATAGCAATTTGATAGTGAAAAAAAAATCCGTTATCAGCGGATGCCTCAGGCAGCAGGAGCCCGTTGCCCGTTGCCCCGCCCTGGTTTGTTTATTCGCAACTTGCAGTCGAATACATCACATTTGCTTCCCCTTGGACTCAGTCTTGATTCTTCCGTTGCAATTATAACTTATTCCATGTCACCTTAATCTTCAGTTTCTTTCTCAATTTGCCGCATATTCTCTCCATCTCACCATGGCTTTCTTTTTCAATCGTGGCCGGTCGCGGCAACCTGCTGATATCGTCCGGACAACCAAGGAATTGTTACTGAGGATCCATGACTCCCAGAATGCTCCCAAGGTTCGTTTGGAGATATCAAACATGGAAGAATCCGACTAACGAATAAAATAGGCCGAAGAGGAGCTGGCTAAGCAACTCAGTCAAATGAAGGTGATAGTACAAGGAACACCAGGTTGGTCTTTGGAAGTAATACCCAACGCGCAATTTTAAGGAGTTAACCCAATAATCTTCATGTTCAGAGGTCTCAGCATCAGTGGATCAAGTCCATGCACTTGTTCAAGCAACCCTTCAAGAAGATCTACTCTTTGATCTATCCAAAAGCATCCATTTGCTTCCCTTCGAAGCCCGAAAAGATACCCAGACCGTATTCTCCCATATCCTTCGGTTTCGGCCTAATTCATATGGCGTCGAGAAGGATCCTCCAGTCATCTCATACCTTGTCCACCATCGGCCAGAAATCATTGTCGAGTTATGCCGTGGCTACATGCAGAGTCAAAGTGCAATGCCATGTGGCGTCATTCTTCGAGAGGCATTGAAATTCGACGTCATCACCGCTATTGTATTGTACGACCAATCCAGTGAAGGAGAATCGGCGATACGACTATCAGATGTGAAGCCTAACCAGCCGCAACGGGGAGATGGTGTGTTCTGGAGATTTTTTGATTGGATCGACAAGAGCAATTTCGAAGTCAGCGCAGATGCGTTCACCACATTCAGGGTAAGTTCCAGATCGATAGTTATCCCAAGGTTGACCACGGGATGATAAATGGCTAACATATCTTTTATAGGAGATTTTGACCCGCCATAAGAGCCTCGTGACTTCGTACCTGGCAACCAATTTTGAACTATTCTTTGGGCGGTTCAACAGCATCCTGGTCCACTCGGACTCGTATGTCACCAAGCGTCAAAGCATCAAGCTTCTTGGGGAGATCCTATTGGACCGTGCGAACTACAATGTGATGATGGCATACGTGGAGAGTGGAGATAATCTCAAACTCTGCATGAAACTGCTGCGGGACGACCGCAAGATGGTACAATACGAAGGATTCCATGTTTTCAAAGTAAGTTTGCCCTCAAATCACTCCTAACGCAAATGAGGGCTCGCTCTGACAAGGTATTAGGTGTTTGTGGCCAACCCGACCAAATCGGTGCCGGTGCAACGAATTCTGATCAACAACCGTGATCGACTGCTGAGGTTTTTACCTAAATTCTTGGAGGACCGAACTGACGATGATCAATTTACGGATGAGAAGAGCTTCCTAGTCCGTCAGATCGAACTCTTGCCCAAAGAGCCTGTAGATCGGGCTCGGCCAACTCGCGACTCGCCATCAGCTCACGCAGCTGCTGTGGCTTGAGCTGGATCTAACGCTGGGTCGCTGGATTGACCGTTTCACGCCCTTATGATACTTTTTCTTTTTGCGCTGGTTCTAGCTGGGGGCTTTCCCCCTTTTTGACTGCATTGAGCATTGACAGCTGATGGTTATCCAAGCCTCGGCTACAGGAGTTCCACGCGTTTTGTACATCTGGGGCGTTCAGGGGGGAATTGGGGGGTTTTAATTGCATCTACTCTGTGTTGTCCACGTACTCTATAGTTGGGTATGCACGGATACAATTGAACAGATTACCTCTTGATGTCACATCCGTTGGGCAATGATTCTAATCTAAGCACCTTAGAACTAGCGTACTCCACCACACTCCTTGTTTCCGATCCACACGCGGCCCATAGAGGTGGGACACCCCCCTTGGTATTCTATTTTAAGAGGGGAATGAGGAACAGAACAGAGTACGGAGTAGAGAATTACGAGTAGTATGGTTATGAAGATATCGAGTTACGAGTTGTATATATACATATGTATGTAGTATATGTAAACTACAGGGAATGATATGAAACCTCCAAAGCTGCCCCCCGTTAAAGTCCAGCACTGACCTAAAGAGGCGCCAAGAATCGACCCAAAATAACTCCACTCCTCCAGGTATCTCTCAATTTTAATTCTGGAGATTTTGTTTTGCTGAACTTCCCTTGTGATTTTCCCCTTGTCGCTCCTTTTTACTTGGATCTCCATTTTCGCTTAATCTGGCCCCCCCTTTCGGCTTGTCCTTACACTCCTTTCCTTCACGCGATTCTAGCCTACGCGCAGAGTCGCAAGTCATGCCAGGATAATGGTGAATGAGCTTCCTGCATCGTTATCGCCCGACCGATCGGAGTCCAATCCGACAATTCACGCTGTGCCCTTTGAAAATACCGTTGCCGCCCCTCTTGCAAACCGGTCGGTCTCGTTGCCCACAGGCGATGCGCCAATAGCCTCCAATGGCCGATCTTTCAGCACAAGCGCTGCATCAGCCAGTTCGAGTGACGATCGTGCATCCGCGCGTATATTCCCACGGCTCGCGCCATCGGTTTCCGTTGGAGATGAAACCCGAACGATTCGATCGGAGGGCGCGCCCTCCTTGCGCAGCGTGCCCAGCATTCTTGTGAATGAACCAGGTTCCCGTCCCAGCTCGCGACCGGGCTCAAGACCGGGCTCTCGATGGTCAGAAAGAAAGTGGGGTGGTTTGAAGAAACGATCACTTGAGATGGAGAGGAAACTCAGCTCCGAAGAGCCTCCGCCAGTGCCTCAGATCGAGCACCCCTTTACTGGTATTCCCTTGGATATACCGACAGCTTCTTTGGATGGTCTGGATAAACCTATGAAGTTTTCCAATCGCGGGAGTCTGATAAAGAGTGATGCGAAACGTCCACGCCCGAAAACCCCTCAGGAGAAGCTGGAGGAGCACCCCGAACCACACCCAGACCAACCCCTCCAGCAGAAGCTAGACGAGCAGCCCGAACAACAACTAGACCCACCCCAGCAAAGCCTAGAAGAAAAGGAACCTCACCAAGAGCTACGCCAGCCCTGTCAGGAAATACCGGAAGAGAGTTGTGGTCCACAGTTGGAGCGACAGACATCTGAAATTGCGCCGCCCCCTGCCATTACCATGACCCGACCCGAAGGAGAAAATGGAACACCGAAAGCGATTCCACGGCACGCCAGACCTCAGGGCACTCTTCGCCCGCGGCAGACTAGCCTTCCGAGCAGGGCAATCTCGGCAGACGAAGATATGTTGTCACGGCGAGTTCGGCTGATGTACGAGAAGGGCGAAGACAATGTTACCGACTCTGAGGTTGCGAAAGCAATGGCCTCAGAAAACGGGGTCTTATGGGAAGAGGGTGCGGTCCCGGATTCTGAAACCTCTGGATCATTCGCTACGAATGAGACTGGAAATGAAACCAAACCAAGGGCGTCTGTCGAAGTGGAACGTATCCGAATCAAGAGGGAAACCCAGGAGCTAGCAGGCGGCGCTGAATATTGGCAAAATATCGGTGCAGAACAAGTCGATCGTTATGGCTTCATTCGACCTGCAAAGAACTCCAATGGCTCCGAGATTAACCCACTCCAGCGAGTTACGACTAGTCTTTTGCTCGCTTCTGAGACACCTCGGCGGAAACGCTCAATTCGCCCGCCAACCGCTTCGGCCAGCAACCGTTCCTTCAATGGTCCATCTCTAGCCCGCAAAATATCCCACAGTTCCCTAAGCGCTCGTCCATCTTCATCGCAGAGCAACTACGGTCCACCCTTGCGCCGCTCGACATCTCGTTTGCGTGCGGCGACCAATCATCTGCCTCACAACCGAGACCGAAAGGCCAAAGATGAGGCGGCTGATATGCTCACTCTGCCCACTCCCTCTGGTGACGAAAAAGAAGACGCACCAATTACTCGCGCAATGCGAAGGAAGGAGTGGCAGCGTGAGGACAAGTGGACCAAGATGGCGAAGCCGACGAAGAAGAACAAGCATGGCGGTGGTATGACCTTTGAGTTCGACACTCAGAGCTCAAAGTTGATCGAGCGAACTTGGAAAGGCATTCCAGACCGGTGGCGGTCAACGGCCTGGTACTCATTCCTTGAGGCCAGTGCCCGACGCCATAAGGGCAGTCCACCCGCGGACGAGCTCATCGAAGCCTTCAATGAGCTCCAGTTCATCTCGTCACCGGACGATGTTCAGATTGATATAGATGTGCCACGGACGATCTCCAGCCATATTATGTTCCGGAGGCGCTATCGGGGTGGCCAAAGACTACTGTTCCGTGTCCTCCATGCCATGTCGTTATATTTCCCTGACACGGGCTACGTACAGGGAATGGCAACACTAGCGGCCACATTACTGGCCTACTACGACGAGGAACATGCTTTTATTATGCTCGTCAGATTGTGGCAGCTACGAGGTCTGGAAGAGCTATACAAGTCTGGCTTTGCTGGTCTAATGGAGGCCTTGGCCGACTTTGAGCGAGAGTGGCTCGCCGGAGGAGAAGTGGCCACGAAACTAGTAAGTGAATTTCGCTCGAAACACGAAGAATGTCCACTAACGCTTCGCTTACTTTTTGCAGAACGAGGTTGGAATCCCACCCACAGCCTTCGGTACTCGCTGGTACCTCACTCTCTTTAATTACTCAATCCCCTTCCCGGCTCAGCTTCGGGTGTGGGATGTTTTCATGCTCCTTGGAGATGCTGAAGACAATACTGGCCGTGCCGCAACCTCTGCAGGGAAGAACAGTGTCCCCATTCCCGAGAACCCAAGGACATTTGGCCAAGGTCTTGACGTCTTGCATGCTTCATCTGCTGCCCTTATTGATGGCATGCGTGATATCATTCTCGAGTCTGACTTTGAGAACATCATGAAAGTCCTCACTAGCTGGGTTCCCATCAAAGACACCGAAATGTTCATGCGTGTCGCTAAAGCGGAATGGAAAGTCCATCGTCGCAGGAAATCCCCTTAATTATTCTTTTTCTGGTCAAGGCTTCGTTCGCGCGTTTGTCTTCAACCTTGTTTGGCTAATTTCTTCAAGGGTCAACCCCCTTTTGCACTAATTGGCCCTATGGGTGTTCTATACCCTAATGATTACAAGTCGCACCCTAGGGCCTTTACTCTAATGCCTTTCACTCTATACCCTTTTCTCCGAGGTCTCAGAGCGCGCTTATCTGTTGCCGTCGTCTTGTTCTGATTGCCCTCTCTCACTTTACCCACGTTCTTTGCCTCTGTGATTTCTTATCATTGTATCTCCTAGATACTAATACTTTTGATGACCGTTGATTCCCCGTCTGGTTTTTCTTGGACGATCGATACCTATTCTCATGCCCCTACTTCACTTTCTTTTGGTCATTTCCTTTTATCCTTACCTTTTTTCAACACTCTTGTACATCAATTTGGCGACTGGTTCCGAGGTTCATTTTCTCCCTTGCCGCCGCCCATTTGGTTCGAATCGTGTTTCACGGTCTGTCAAAGATTTGCAACTCATTGTCCTATAATTGCACTGCCCGAAGCGACATGGATCGAACCTATATAATCCCGGGGCCGAGAATACAATTTTATCTTATACCGGACAGGACTAGCCGGCCGCTTATACAGCCTTATGACGTCTTTTGGTATCTTTTTTCACTCTTTTTAGATGTCCTTTTTCTAGATATTCCCCCCCGATTTGTGTTGTTATCTAGAATGTAGATGGTAGAAACGGCTTAAAATGTGTAAATCGACGTACCTATACGTAGCCATAACTAACTATCGTGTATGTACTTGACTTCCTCTGCCAGCTGGGGCTTTCCTTAGCCGCCGCTGCTTTTAGGACGCCCAGAGTCAGGCCCACTAAGTAGATTCCAGTCTGAGTGATCTGTGTATGCCTCATAATCGAGTTTGTCGAAGAGTCAATAGCATCACTGCCGTAGCCTGAAAGTACTGATAAGCTACCGTTATGGCGCGCGACTCCAAAACCATTGTGAAGCCCTGGCGACGTCTAGTACGGCCTCTACCATCTTTGCCCACGACACGCTAATAGACAAGTGTGTATCATGGTTCAGATACGCGTCCACTCGACACCACAGTTGACCGAGCCATGTACAATCTGAATCCAATCAATCTCTGTAAACATAAGCCCCCTTATATACCCTCAGCATGCCTGCGGCCTACTCGTCATGCACCTTGACCACGACCTTGCCACGCGCACGCTTTGTGGCGATGCGCTCGTAGGCACGTATGGCATCTTTCATGTCGAAGACAGAGTCGACAGGGATACGCAAGCGGCCCTCCTCGATCAGACGTGCTACGTAGACCGCGTCGTCACATGCCGGGGGCGTGCTGAACATTATATATCGACGCTGCACGCCGCCCAGCCAGATGGGCAGCCAGCTGTTGAGCATGGCATTGCGCGACGTCACATACATCCCCTCAAGCATGCCGATATTTACAACAGCCCCCTCAGGCTTAAGATAAGCCGGGGAGTTGACAAAAAGTGCTTGTGTGCCGACGCAATCAAGCACAAAGTCAAACGGCTTGTCGCCATACTGATGCGCTAGGTAGGCTGGCAGGGATTCATGTTCGCGGTAGTCGATGAACTATTTGTATATTAGTCATTTTCCTTATGCAACGTTGGCGACTGGCAACTGTCCCTACCTCATCTACACCCAGATCACGAACCATGGGCTCGTTACCTCCACTAGCCACGCCGACCACCTTTGCACCACGCAACTTGCACAACTGTACGAGCACCGAACCGACCGACCCACTAGCCCCATTCACAAGCACCGTGTGACCCTCGCGGACACCTGCTGAGCGAATCATCTTGAGCGCCGTGCTACCGGAGCCGATGATGCCCGACGCTGACGCCATGTCAATACCGTCATCGATACGTGCGACCTGGCTGCCAGGCAGTCGCACATATTCTGCTAGCACGCCGTGGCCCATGATCACGGCGCTGGGAATGTTTTGAAAGGCAATGACATGTGAGCCCGGATCGCGCAGCTCTGCTGGTGCACCCGTGCCAGCTGCTACTACCACGCCGGAAAGCTCAATCTCCGGGATCCATGAGCTGGTGAAAGGTAGTTTGGGCAGTATCTTCATTATCATCTCACTGCTGAATTGTAGTGATACGTTTGACACGCGGATTAGCACGTCGGGCGACGAGCCCGTGGGCATGTCGGGGGTTGGATAGTTGGTGGCTAGCTCGAGCGCGCTACTAGTAGGACCGCGCCGCCGGCGTACCCAAGCACGCATGGTCGGCGGTACGGTCGGGCACTGGGTCTTCGATGACATTCCTTCTGCTATTGGTGCGTTATGGATCGATGAAGAGGAGGACAGTTCACGGTATAAGCAGGGGAATCGGAGAAATGTGGTCGACAGATCCGAAAGCTGTTGTTATAAGGAGTAGGCAGCTCAAGAAGAATAAGTGTCTCTCGAGCATCTAATATAAACACCGATGGCACAGCCCGAGAAAGGTGAGAAAGGTAGTGTGTTCCTGGAAGTTCGTCTCATGCGTCAAATAAAATGATTGGTAAGAAACACCATGTAAGCTTTACGAGTATGGATCGCAATGTGCTCTCCCTACTAGGCTCCTAGAGGCGTATGGGGGCCAATTTAGTCATGGGGGACAAGACTTGACAAAAAGATTTCCATGTTTGACGTTATACGCCTAGCGCGTGTCAGAAAGAAGAAGGCACGGGCTAATCCATGCCAGTTGCTTTATGTACATGTCAATCTTGGAAGATTGTAGATGTCCAAAGCAAATTCGTCCATTCGCTCATCCTCAGAGCGAAGTGGTCGTGCTCAGTTGTACTCAGGGAGCAAAAAGCGGCAAGGGCTGAGCACTAATACGGAAAAAGAACGAAGTAGTATAACGTTCGATAAATAGTTTTAGTTGGTGTCCTATCATGTCTGACTTCTACAATCAGAACTGTATGTATGTAACTTCAATGGTCTATTCTAGAAACTTTTGTGTTGCGACTTCTAAAAACAATCTATAATGATTTTTATCCAAGTAAACCCTTTCCAGCCTTGGCCCCCAGATTGCCCTTGTCAACATAATTCTCCTTCAGCCATTTCATGGCAGTGGTATCCACTTGACGCTGCTGGCTATATACAACCTCAATATTGTACACAGTATCCAGGCCAACAGTATCCATCATCAGACAAGGACCCTTGGTAGCCTTGAACCAACTCTTGAACATCTCATCAATGGTATGAGCATCACTGACGCCCTCAGCCAAGACAAGCAAAATCTCCCGCTTAAGCGATGCCCAAATGCGGTTGAAAACCAGCCCGGTAGAATCAACCTGAGCATGGACAGGCTTGAACCCAGCCTGGGTAGCCTTCTCCATCAAAAACGGAAAGATAGCAGGATCCGTGTGGCCACACGACATTACCTCAAAGTACGTCTGGTCCGGCGGCATGTAGTAGTGACCGTTGCAGATGCGGTAATTCTTCTCCGTGTTGACGATCATCTGACTGGTCCGTAGGGATGACGAGTTGCTGGCAATTATGCATTCTGGCGGAGCGATCTTGTCCAGCTCCGTTATGAGCTCAATCTTCATCTCCAGCTTCTCCGGGATGGCTTCGATGACCATCCATGCGTTCCCCGCGGCTTCTTGTAGCGAGGTTGTTGTTTTCAGCTCGGCGGGTTCCGTGCCTTGCTTGCTAGCTTGTTCGGCTTGGTGTTCCTGAATGTAGCTCACGGCGTCGCCGTAGTCGAGCGCTTTCTCGCACAGGATTACCGTGAAGCCCGAGGCTATCCACATCATGGCAATTCGTCGGCCCATCACGCCGCCGCCGATTACGGCGATTGGGCGTGTGCTTGTGTCAGGCTTGGTCCATGGGGTTGATGGCATCTTGCTTTGGAAATTGGAGATTTTTCAAGAGGGAGATGGCCCTGTGAGATATGGTCTTGAGTGAGAGTCATTTTGGCCACTTTGATCGAGGGGCAGAGGTTATGGGGCTATGATGCTATGATGATTGAATGTCGGATCTTTTCCCGTGGTGATCTAACCCTGAGGGCAAATGTGGCTAAATGGCCCCCATACTTTAAGCTCATGCTTCTGTCTAACAATTAGTTCTACAATATTTTTTTTACTGTAAAGATACAGGCATGGAGATTAGTGGTATCGTATCCTCGACAGGTAAAAATGTCGTCTATGGCACTCCAGGTGTCTCTTTAGGATGCTTCTCGAGAAAACGAGCAAATGTGCAATATGATCTGTTAAATACCTCTACTAAGGCGAGAAAAGGATAAAAGAAGCAAGGAAAAAGAAATATTCCATGTCTTCCCGCGTTTGGTGATGTTCCCAACTCAGCCATAAACTCAGTTGCCGATTCTGAGCTTGTAGATCATGCTGTTATATTTAGCAATTTAATCGACTCATCACACATTGTCGTGGCCGTGACAAAACTATTTCCCAATTTCCAAGACTTGCCATATTATAGTGATCCCTGTCACCGTTGTTCTCATCGTGGTGCTGCGCTTTTTAGTTGTTACTTTGACTGCGGTCAATTTAGAGAGTGGCATGGAACAAACCAAAATCAAAGTCACGGATAATAGCAGATGGGACCTCAAGTAATGGGTACTTAATCCAAATTAACCAACGAATATCTTCTATATCCCAAGAGTTCTCATCTCCAATCCAAGGCCACAATTGATTCCACATGAATGGTTGCGGTATTCTCTAGGGTTAAACAAGCATATTTTGGTAACACAACAGCAACTCAACGGCTAGACTTGACCATATATAAGGACCACAAGGTGCCATCTCTTGCATTCCGTTTCCCGATAGTTGAGCTAACGCACTTGAATTAAAATTGACTTGTACTTCGGAGACCCTCTCCTTCCGGCACAATGCATCTCACCATCCTATCACCCCTACCATGGCTCTTTCTGCAAACTCAAGCCCTACCGACAAACAACACCCTGGAAAGCTTCATGATTCCCGATTTCATTCCCGTTCCTTCGGGCGCAAACTACAAGCTTTGTACCCAGGGCTGCTGGCCCGCTGCTCTCCTCTGCTCGTCTCCTACTGTAGTATGTATATATAACCGCTCTGTTTGACAATCTGGATTCCCCGTCATGGTGACTAATGCCCACACTCATCAACCAACCGCAGAGCCCTCCAAATGCGAATGTATGTGGCCCCATCGAATTTACTAGCCCTCTACTCGAGTGGTACACACGTAGGGAGTTTGGTAATATTAGTCTCGGGTGCACTACACCTGCCACCCAACCAGGTTGCTGGATTTGTTGCTTCGATATCACTCCTGTTTTTTAGGGCATATGTTGGCATATCCCAAAGTTTGCGGTAGAATTAAAACACAGTGATTTATGGAGATCAATTGAGAGATCCATAATGGCTTGGTGACCTCGTTCCTTGGGTAGGACAGCCGGACAGGCTTTGTACTCCTATATTTCCGCTCATATTCCAAACACTGTAAGGCTTTTGCTGGGACTTAAACCTTATAGATGCTAAATTTAAGCCAGTTGACATGTATATGCATCCATGTATGGAATGATCTGACTCTGAAGCTTGGAAGTGCCCAGGTGGTGGATCGAGATAAGGACCCAAGACCCCAACATCGTATTATGGATACATAATGTATGATACAACGCAACCTGGGACCCTGAAGAAGGATTTTCAGAATAAACACATGTGTAATAAACACATGTGTAATAAACACATGTGTAATAAGCGGGCTGTGCTACATTATGGTAATTACCAAGTATTATAGCGTCCATAGGGTTGTGCCAGTAACCAGGGGGAAACGGTGTGCCCCCCCGCATATTTATGTCCCCATTGTACTCACATGTACTTCGTACAATATTCCTCAATATATCACGCGCTATGACAGCGATTAAAAGGTGCAAGTCTCCGGCAATGGCACAACTTGCCACTCAAGATTGCTTTCAATATCAAGTTACCCGAGGCTAAACAACCGCTCAACCGTCAAGTGCCACCAAATGTGTTATCGGGACACATTATTTGATGAAATGCTCGTATTGGGTGGCTTTGCGTGGATGCTCCTCTGTTTCGATCATCGATTGGCTCTATCCCAATGTGGTATACCCCTCATGCCAAGGGATGATCTCCCCAGTTTTCGGAGTTACCCCGGGTCACACTAAACCTTTTTCAAGGGAGAAGTATAAATGCTCGCGGAATGATGTCCGCACTGATTGACTCTCTTCTTCTCTCATCTCTCTTTGCCTACCATGGTTGATTCAAAAGACACACCGGAGAAGACCTCCTTACACCAATTCGAGGATACAACTGTCCAAGGTTCCCCATACAGCGCCGATCTCAAGCAAGATGGGCTAGTCGCAGATGCGGAAGCATCCAGCCTCGGCCCGCCGACCTTCGAGGGAGTTGATGAAAAAGCTGTTCTCCGAAAGATGGACATCCGTCTTATTCCCATGCTGAGCATGCTATATCTGTTGGCTTTCTTGGACCGTGGGAATATCGGCAATGCAAAGATTGAAGGGCTTGTTGATGATCTTAATATGACGGGACCGCAGTACAATTGGACTTGTATGATGAATCCCCTCGTTTTCTTCTTTTGTACAAAAGAATGGCCAATTAACATCTGTTTGTGGGTAGTGACTGTCTTCTTCTTTACCTACTGCGTCTTTGAACTGCCGAGTAATCTGCTTTTAAAGAAGCTGAGACCCTCGAGATGGCTTCCTTTGATCATGGTGGCCTGGGGAATTGTTATGGTGAGCGCGCGCATTCTTTGAGGTTTGTCTCGAACACGATTTACTAAAGACTACGCAACCAGACCCTGATGGGAGTTGTCAACGACTACGGTGGATTGCTCGCAACTCGATTGTTTTTGGGCGTTGCTGGTATGTTGACATCTTGCCCCCTCCCGACGTGCATCCTGTTCAAGTCAAGACTAAACATTGTATGAAACGAAATAGAAGCCGGTTTGTATCCAGGTGTGGCATACTACATTACACTCTGGTACCCACGCCATCGAGCACAATTTAGACAAGCTCTCTTCTTCAGCGCTGCCAGTGTTGCGGGTGCATTCTCTGGGCTTCTTGCATACGCCATCGCTGTAGGTGATCTACTCGCTGGCCTCAGTGGCAACTTTACTAATGTATCTCCAAATTAATAGAAAATGGACGGCGTGGGCGGATATGCTGGTTGGAGATGGATTTTTATTCTTGAGGGTCTTCTTACGGTTCTTGTGGCACTTATAGCCCCATTTGCCATCCATGACTCCCCCGAAACTGCAACCTTTTTGACTGAAGAGGAGCGCCGCTTTGTGATCCACAGTTTGCGGATTCAAAATTCAGCAGACGCGCGCGAAATTGACCAAACCAATGACAAATTTGAAATGCGCTATGTCATTGATGCTTTCACAGACTGGCAGATTTGGTTGGGTCTATTCAGTAAGTTCTGTTTGCTCTGGGGTATTCAATGCATCATTGACTGATCCGTACGAAGTGTACTGGGGTATTACCTGCCCGCTATACGGCATCTCTCTTTTCCTTCCTTCGATCATCAAGGATCTAGGTTATACGTCTTCGACCGCCCAGCTCCTTACTGTAAGCTCTTTGTTTTACAGCTTTGTTGAAGCGGAGATTAACAACATCATATTAGGTACCAATTTATATTACTGCAGCAATTGTCGCTGTTATTGCAGCATGGGTATCAGATAGACGCAAGCAGCGCTCCCCATTTATTCTCTTCTTTATGGGAATGATTGGAATCGGTTTCATCATCTGTCTCGCATCTACTGGACGGGGAGTCCCAGGTGTTATGTACTTTGGTATTTTCGTCGCGGTCGTCGGTAAGTGCATTCTGGTTGCAAACCTCTGTATACATATCCCAACTAACACAAACACCAAAAGGAATCTATCCAGCTTTCCCCGGAAATGTCACATGGCTCAGTGTCAATATGGCAGGCGACTACAAGCGAGCCGCCGGCATGGCTATTTATATTGGACTAGGAAACCTGGCAGGAGGTAATGATATCGCATCAATGGGGAGTCTGAGATACAGGCTAATACTCTTTTCTCAACAGCTATGTCCTCAAACTTCTATCGTGCTCAAGATGCACCGAATTACATTCTTGGCCACTCCCTTGAGCTTGCTTTTGTTGTCGTGGGCATGATAGCGACTGTCGTTCTGCGCATGGCGTACCAGCGTATTAACCGGAAACGAGACGCTATGGATCCTTCAGAATATCCCGAGAATCCCGATTCGCTGGGTGATCGCTCTCCATTATTCAGGTATATGCTTTAAGATAATGCGAGAGCTGATAATTTGGATGGTAGAGATTAAACATGGTGTCATTCACCTGGACACCGGGATCTCAGGAATATTTTCAGACTATGCTACGTGCGTCTCTGTGTGCTCCCCTCATATAGACATATCTGTCCCAACTTCTATACACATCTGTACCGGATAAGGCCTGGCACTCTATACTTTCCCCTTTCCATATTAGTGCTCACCACACTCATATTCCAACTGAATTTGTCAGCCCACCACGGGATTATACCTAGGTAACACCTGACCTCGGGACTACCTGTATAGATCCTGTGGACCTTAACTCCGACGGGGCTAGCTGGACCCGACCCGAACCGTACCCGTTCTTGGCGGGGCTTGGGTTGAGGCACGACAAGACTATGAGTGGGGTAAGAGGCTCTATAAATTAGAAACCTGACATGACAACCAAAATGATAACCAACCGACTGGTTGTTATAGTGGGCCATTTGGTAGAACATTGTCTTTTTTTGTCAGACCAGTACCCAAACTCATTAGCTCCTAGGAGTCAGTTGGGTCTTGTCCACTAGTGAGTGACGGATGTGTCCTATCCTTGTAGGCGTCTGTATTATAGTCCTCCCGTACAGGCCAGCCCAATAAATACATACTGGTCTGCCTAAGCAAATAAGACGATCGCCACAGCCGAGACCAACGACTGGGCCACGACTGGATCCCTCGAGCGCTCGAGCCAAAACACATTACGGATTACTGCCAACAAGACGGACATAAGCGGTGCCCCGGCGGTATTCCGCCGGTATAGCTTCAGCCATGACTTTAACAAGAAATATGCATACTTCCGAGGTTGTTTAAACAGCTAACTTTTGAGACATTCCAAGAGCACCATCCCTGAATTCTCAGTTACATTCATAGGTATAATGTATCGTGGCAGATAAATGGGGAAGTATGTCGGAGATACGCGTAGCAAGGATGGCGCAATTGATCACTTAAAGGTGCAAAGTGATACCTGTTAATGCATATGACAAGGGGAAAGCGTACGGAGTATATTCTCACCAATTAAAAACAAATATAGCACCTTTGACGTGATCGATTAAGTTACACTAGTATGCAGGAAACGACTCTACTTGGGAATGATCTCCCTACCAGCCTTCTTTGGCTATATTAGGCCAATGACATGGCAAAAGGGCTACATTCGCTCTAGACTATTTAGATGAGTTTAGTATACAAGGGATAAAGACTCCTAGATCTAGCGCATACCATTATAATACCCTAAATAACGTTGTCGATCTTGTTCTAGCCCCAAGAAATACCGATGTGCCAGTGCTTTCGAGTTTCTCAGAGCTTGCTTAGTTGTTCAATCATTAATAGTACACACTTGACTACTATGTATTATTATCATGACTTTTGTTGAATATTTAAAGCAATATGATTCCACCTTACACGATATAGCTAAACACAACCTTGGCAGGTGGTATGAAAGATTTGAATATTTCATGTATCTTATTGAAGCAAAACGTGAACAGTTTTTCTAATTGCTATATTATGAAAGCGCCGAGTCAAGTGCATTGAGGGGCTGTAATATATAGTGAAGCTGACTGAGATTTTAGTTTTGATCCAGGTAGACAGCGGAATTGCGTGAGGCTTTACACCAGAATCCTACCAAACCCACCCAAAGGCCCTAGCCTACAGTCTTCTACCCATCTCCGGTGCGACTTGTGGAGGATGAAGGACGTATGTGCTTCGCGTATTTGACGATTGCTGGCTGCAAGCAATGGAGACATCATCCCGGACCGTGAGGTGATGACGGCGTTCAGCCGCGGGACATCTGCGTGATATGGAGTGAGACCAGTAATACTAAATAAGTACCGCGCTAGAGATGGGGGCCGGAACGAGGGCACGCTATAACTAGATGAGATTCTGAATAATGGGCTTTTCTGCAAGATGTCTTCTTCCTAAACCCCGAGATTGCGTGCATAAGTTTAAAGACAAAGTGGCTATATTCTAGGGCGGACGGCTGTTAATTGAGATTTTCTTTCCTCCTGATCGTGTGCATCTGCATCTGCATTTGCCGTCACTGTCTTGGTCTTGCCTTTCCCCCACTGAGACTTGCACCAGGCCAATCACCAGCATAGCATGTTAGAGAAAACACCGGGAAACCCGCCAAGAGCCACTAAAAAGTCACGCCGATCCACCAGCCCGAGAGCCATAGAGCTGAGAAGGTGAGTGAGATGTCATTTATGAGTGTATGCCTTGGGGTGTGATGTTTTAAGATGGATGCTGATCCAAGGACGACAGGCATCAAAACAGAATCGCACAGCGAAACCACCGTATGCATCCACTTGACCTATTGTACTATTCTATGTTCTATCATGTGCTGACCCTTCCCTATAGGCCGAAGGGTGCAGGAAATAAACCAGGCTCGAAAACAAGCTGAGAGCAGCACCATAACAGAAGAGACAGACCAAGAGACCCTGGACGCTAGCAATACAAACAAGCACCATTCACGCGGTGGTTCTGAGCAACGCCTGTCCGACAACGACAGCACAGATAATCAGGCTTCGCAAGCAGACCCTTCGTCTATGACCTTTTATGCTACCCTGCCGCGCACTGGTTTACTAACTAGCGAATGCAGCAACATGATTATGGCCGAGGACATGATGGCTAACCAGGCGCAGAGTGTGTCCTGGGTGGATCCGATGGCTAAGCCCATGCAAGAAAATGAGAATTATATGCAGCAACCTTCCATGCCACCTCAGAACTGTACCTGCAGCGCGGCTACAGGACCCTGCATTGGCCATATGGAGAAGATGCGTATGGAGCTTCTTGGAGAGATAATATCCCCGATGCAACTACACCATGAGCAATCGCAGCAGCAGCAACAACAGCAACAGCAACAGCAACAGCAACAACATCCCAATCACCATGTATCTGATATTAATATGACGAGGTTGCAGTCGCAGCCTTTTGTCACCCGTTAAGAACTACAGCCGTTCTTCACCAAGGTGAGTTGATTCCTCTATAGACTCATCATCTTCTCCAGCTCGCTCCCATACCTCCTGAAGCTGTTGCGATGCTCCGTCGGAATATAGTCGGTCACTATGTTGGCGATTTCATTAAAACTAAATCTTTCTATCTAGCGAGTCGGGCCAAAGGTCTATCTACTCCTCCAACGGATCGACTCATATGGGCCTGCTTAGCCAACTACCGTCTTACACATCCAAATCCGGCGAGTCACTATTAAGCATAAGCAGCCGCTCTTCAATACCAGATACTTCATCTACACCGGCATCGGGGACTAACAAGGGTACAAACATCCCCGCCATATCTGCTTTAGAAAACACAAGACGTTTTGGTGCTCTCCTTGAGTCTATATCGGGCGCAGGGTTCCACAACTTGGATGAAATGGTCTTCGAGTACTATTCGGCACGATTTGAGCCCGGCAGCTTGCCTGCCATGGCCCAATGTGCCAGCCGCAGTCGTCGCATCAAGGCCACGGTGCAGAATCTATACGAAGACAGTCGTCAATGGCCCCGGTGGGAGTCGCGGGGCCTGCACGAGAGCGTGTCGCAGGCGACTAGTAAGTGCACCCACGATGTAAGCCATGGGCACGTCCCATGAGCACAACAAAACAGGGTAGACTAACAATCTCTCGCATTAGTTTCGCTCTGTCTTGGAGAGATGGAGCGGCTGAAAAAGGCCCACTCATCGCAACAGCTATCACAAAGTGATCCGGGATGCCTCATAGTTGCTTTGGAACGTATGCTACAATCTAGCGCGCAAGGTAGCCCAACCATATTGGACGAGTTGAAGCTGTCAGAAAATGCCGACGCAGCTGTTGATGAGGTACAATATACTGGAATTCTCTCCTGCGTCATCAAACCCAACTGACAATATCGCATAGATGCCACATCTTTGGTCTCTTCTTACAGAATTGGTAGGGCCTCGGGGCTTGTATTGCGATCGGATGGCTAAGATTATCATGGTTATTCTTCTTTATACGAGATCTGGTTAGAGATCATGGAAATGAATGACGAAAGCGAATTGAATTTTGAGGGTGATTTTGTTATAGTTCCTTTTACGATACTGGCTATTTGGGTACCTCCAAGATGACGTAAAATAAAAGCTCAACTCTAGTTTTTGATATTCAAGATATTAATTCTGACATTGAAATCTTTATCCCTGCTTGTATTTTAGGTGTGCATAACTAGAATTGTGTGTATACAATGCTAGGAGTCATTGTAAGCGACGACCTCGGCAAGGTTAAAGAATAGCAATAATACCATGCCGAGGGATGGCAAAATACGGAGTAGTCAAGGTTCCTGAGGCGTATGAAGCACAGAGCGAAACGATACATACAAATCATGTCTGTTAGAACATCCACAATGCCATCTGCAATGTCAAGCACCGGAGCTGCAATGTCAGCCAGACGGCCTACCTAGGTATGTCAGCCACCGTAATCCACACCACGCTGTTTAGCTTGGGATGAATGTTTGTTGCTAATTTTGGTGTCTTCAAGTCTCTCCAATCTGCCTGCGCATGACAACTGTATAAGCCGCAAATCATGCACTGTAAGGCTCTTATTCTACTACAGTCTAGCGCCATACTCATGCTGTGTGTTTACAACATCTATCGCGAACATGGCACCGACCTCAGAGGGATAATTCTATCTTCTACACAAGATCAATAAAAGAAACATCTTGATCCTATTCCTTGAGGACTCAGCCTAAGCCAAACTTCTCCTGCCTTTTTCCTTTTTGTCGACATACCGCGACATCCTCACCTCGAAAACAACAATGACAACGAAAAACGGAACGAACGATGTTAAGGTCGCCACACCGACAAATGGCGTGCACGATACTCAGTTCACAAATGGAATCCACGCTCCCAAGCTGCTTGAGGCCACCATAGTCGACCAATTCGATGACTGGGTTTCTAAGATCCCGAACTCAGTCGCCGTCGAGTGGCAGGGGCAGCGTCTCACATATGCGGAGTTGCAAACCTCCTCGTTGCGTGTTGCCCGCGCGCTGCTGGCTGCTGGGGTCAAGCCCTACGATAAGGTCGCTGTTCTGACTGACATGTCCCTTGAGATGTTACCCTCTATTCTCGGCACGCTGCGAACCGGCGCTGCCTATGTACCCATTGACGTCGCCGCCTGGAGCCGGTCTCGCATTGAAGCGACGTTGTTCGAACTCTCATCCCCCTTCGCCCTTGTTACAACGTCAGTGCCCGGGCTTGCGCTGCCCGAGTTCACCGTCCATTTCCAGAAGCAGTGGCTACGATCCCCGCTTGGCAATGCAGCCGAGCTGACTGCTCAGCTGGCTGCACTCCGCCGAGACTTCAAAGACGACCTCTTGTCATGGATTATCTTCACTTCGGGGACAACCGGCAAGCCAAAGGGAGTCATGGTGTACCACAGAGCCATCCACGCCCTCGCCATTTCCTTTAACCACAGCGACTATCTCGAGTCTGCACTTGACAAGGATATACGCGTCATGTTGGCCTTTTCAATCGCGTTCGACGCTTGTGCAGCTGTTGTCTGGAGCACGCTCACTAAGGGCCGTGCCATCGTCATGGCCTCATCGTCGAGCTTTCCAGAAGTAGCCACCACGTGCGAAGTATTGCACCTGACCCCGTCCATGCTGGCTTCGCTAGCGCCGTCAAAGGCATATGACCCGGCCGTCTGTATCTTCCTAGGTGCCGAAGCACCCAACATTGAGGTGATCCGCGAGTGGACGCATCCAGATCGAAAAATCTTCAACACCTATGGCCCGACAGAAACTACGTGCGTTATCAGTTTGGGGGAGATTGACCCCAACAAGGAACCGCCATTTGGGGAGATTGTTGCTGGTGCCAAGGTCGTCCTCGTGGACCATAATCTCGAAGAGTGCAACAAGGGTGAGGTCTTGATTGGCGGCCCCAACCTAGCCGCTGGATACTTCAACAACGCCGAGTTGACGGCGGCCAAATTTATCCAGTGGAATGGCGAGCGGTGGTACAGAACTGGCGATCTAGCTGAGAAGACCGAGGATGGAGATTTCGTGTGGGCTGGACGCACAGACTCGCTAGTTAAGAATAGAGGCTTCTTGATCAACATTGAGACAGAGGTCGGGCCAGCGCTTCTAAGTTTCCCTAGCGTGCGCGTCGCTGTCGCTCTAATGTGGCGAGATAAGCTGGTTGGCTTTATTCAGCCCTCTACTGTGGATGTTGATGAGCTGCGAGCGTTCCTGCGGGTGCGCTACGACCCGTTTATCGTCCCCGACGATATTGTGGCCCTAGACAGCTTCCCTCTCACGGTGAATAGTAAGATTGACAAGCGCGCACTCTCTACGCAGCTAGATGAGCGATTCTTGCACGACGACGAAGGTTTAGAGCAGGAAGGTAAGGAGCTATCTAGCTACGATGCTCTACGCCTGGCCTTCTCTAAGATGCTACATGTCTCCACAAAAGAACTTAATAGCAGCTCATCCTTCACTCGGCTGGGCGGAAACTCTCTAACATCTATCCGGCTAGCTAACGGTCTTAAAAAGTACGGATACTCGGTTATTGCTATCCAAGTCTTGCGACTAGACACGATAGGAGAGCTGGAGAAGGTCGTTGTCGCCATTCCTAAGGTAGATGAGACCGAGGAATATACGACCGGCCCAGCAGTCGCCACAGACGTGCAAAAGGGATTCCTCAAGAGGTCGCTCGACAACCCTGATTACTGCGCCCTGATCGGAACAGCCCGATACATCGGAGACCGTCTTGCCACCCCTACCGCTGATGAGCTGCACAAGGCCTTCGTTGTGGCACTATCAGCCCACAGCATCTTCCAGACGCGTTTTGGCGCGGGCAATTTCTCTTTGTCCGATCTTGGTCACCTAAATCTCAATTGGAATCAAGTTAGCGTGTCTCAGGATGAGTTTGAGAGCGCCATCCTAGTCGAAGAGGGCAAGGCTCTGCAGGCCATTAAAGACGTCTCTCGCATCGACATCGAGGTTCCTTACTTCGACGTTACCGCAATCACTGTTCCCGACCGCAAAGACGTTGCCTTCATCACTCGCGCCCATCATATCTTGGGCGACGTCTTCTCCACGGCCATCCTCTTCCGCGACGTGGAAAGCGCGCTCAGGGGCGAAACAGTCGTTCAGGGCACTCGATGGGCCGACTTTGCCCGTTTCATGGAGAGCTACAGACTGCAAAATCTGCCGAGGGCGATTGCCACGTTCGAGAAGATCCTCGGGCCGTTGCCTAACACATCGATTTTGCAGCTTCCGGCGCCCAAGACGCCTCCGCATGTGGACCACTACGACCTGAAGATTCTCAACTCGCCCTGCAATTTCACCAAGTCAGCGCTCGACGCAGCCACGTCCTCACAGGGTATAACTGCCACCACCATGGTCTACGCGGCATGGGCGCTGTTCCTGAGCAAGATAAGCGGATGGGACCGGGTCGGTTTCTCCATCAGCCTGTCAGGACGTACGGTGCCCTGGCCGCCGGCCCAGGCCGTCGTCGGCCCCGTTGTGGGGAAATCACCCTTCAGCACGGAGGTTCCCATGGCCAAGCCAGTGCACGAGTGGCTGGCTGAGGTGCACAAGTTGACCCTCGATATTATGGAGTTTGATGGAGTGACGAGCTCCCTGCCTGAGTCTATGCGCGCAAACCCGACGACAAACTCCACTAACGTCCTGTGCTTCCTCGACATGCCCCGTACATCGAATAGCTGGACGTTCAAAGACAAACAGAAGCACAACTACTTGTTGGATTGGTACCTCTTCCCCCACGGAGACGGTCTCAAGACTGAGTTTGAGTTCAACTTTGCGAAGATTGACGAGGACTGGGCGAAAGAGGCAGCCAAGATCCCTGGACAAATGTTGGAAAGGTTGATTAATGCTGGACCGACCACTTTGGTGGGAGACGTTTTGGAATCTATACAGGGTATTGTAGGTTTTTAGAATGATTGTATTAGGCAGCTGGTTTATATATGAGTCGAGACTCCACTTGCTACTAGTTAACCAAGTAAAATCGAACTGTCATTTGGAGACATCTCTGCGTCTGTCTCCTCGAGACCTTTTGTCTTATTATCCTTCTCAAGTAGACACCACGCGGTTAATCGGAGACAAAGAATATCAAATTGCGTCACACATTATCGAAGTCCAAACATCTTCCTACCCCATTATCATAACAATTATACTCCGTATCACCTCCACACTATTATATCTACTTGTTTCCTGCTCTTACAAGATCACCAAACCTAGTTCCTGCCTCTTGCGCCAATATGGCCGGATTTCCCACCTCCACAATCTCGCCGGTATCCATAACCACCACCCTATCAAAGTCCATAATCATATCTAACCGATGGCTGACCGCAATGACAGTGTAGTTCTTGAACTCGGTCCTAATAGTTTCCTGCATGATACGCTCGGTCTGCTGATCCACGCTAGAGCTAACTTCATCCAGAAGCAAGATGCCGCCTAGCTGCCCAGCGGCCCCAAACTTGCGTTCTCGAACGGAGCGTCTAAGAAGGGCTCTACCAAATGAGAGCAGCTGCCTTTGTCCAGCACTGAAGCTTGAGGCGTTCATTCCTGCATCTAAACCGCCTCGTTTCTCGACAAACTCCCACAAGCCGACCGATTCAAGCACGCCCTTGCACTCTTCGGCAGTGGCCTCCTCGGCGACATCGAGATTATTCTGGACCGTAGACCCGTCTGGTAGGAAGACAGCTTCTTGAGGAACTGCAATGATTCGTTGGCGCAGCACGGATCGGTTCAGCCGGTGGAGCGGCAGGTCGTCAATTATAACATTCTCCGCAGTGGTGGATAGTGGATCAAGGAGCTTTAGGAGGAGAGCGACGAGACTAGATTTGCCGCTGCCGGTGCGGCCGCAGATAGCAATTTTTTCCTTGGAATTGATGTTTAGTTGGATGTCGCGGAGAGCAAGGCTTGTTGTGGTCTCGTCGTTTTGCCCTTCGGCGCTTATAATCCAGTTAGCCTTGTGTCTTGTGGTGTATGAATTGTAGTTCTTACGAATATCTTGCTGAAACCCCCTTCAGTTCCACAACGCCGCGCTGAGGCCATTGTTCAGGTGCGTCGATGTCCTCTTCATCTCTATCCTCCGGCTTGACTGTCTCATTGAACGTCTTGAGTCTGGCAATGGCACCAAGCGAGGTTTCAAGCTTGGTCCAAAACAAAACAATGCCAGCGAGGTTCTCTCCGAAACTAAGAAGACTGTATAGAGCAGCACCGGCGAAGGCGGAGTTTGAATGGAAGCGCACAGCAAACGTTGTCAATGCTACTGCTAAAAGCATGACTACCACGTCGAGAACGACGTTCAACCATTCCTGGATCATGAGAAGGAGATATGAAGGACGCTGGCTTGAAGTGAGGAGACGGGCATTCTTCTTAACATCTTCACGGATAAAGCCTATGTGCACTATCTTAGCAACGGTGCATCAAAACCGACGAGATGGAGGTGGAGAGGCTGGTACGTACCGAATGCTCGCAAAGTTGTGATGCCTCTAACAATGTCAAGGAAGTGCGTGCTGAATGTGTGTCAGTAATAACAACGAGGAAACGTGAGGGTGAGCACCCATTTACTTACTATAGTGGGCTCTTGGCTTCCAGATCGAGCAATCGAAGTTGCCTTGAAGTGCGTAGGTAAAACTTCTGCAGAACGTACAGCAGGGCGGCAAGGAAGGGGAAGGTGATTGCCAAGTAGGCAGATGATGTGAGCATAACAGCCATTTGTCCAATGACTTGGGTAATCTAGCCATTTATGTTAGCTGCTAGATCTAGGTCTCTTTGAGGGTTCATAATGAGTTCGCCTACCGAAAAGAGGGTGCTGACTGTAGCATCTGGCAGCTCTGTGTCAATGAGGTTCAAATCTTGCGAAAATAGGTTTGTGGTGACACCAATGTCTGTTTCAGTGAAGAAGCGAAGTGGTGCTCGGAAGAGCGTCTTCAAAATGTCATCATGCAGGTTTGCGCCAGCACGTTTAATCGAGACGATCCAGATGGAGCAGCCAAGTAGGAAGAGCGAGATCAAGGCACAGATCTGAAACAGTGCGTAGATTCCGGCCCAGTAAGCGGAAGAATGTTTTGGACTTTGCGAATTTACGTCTTTAACCCAGTACGTGAGCCCTGAAATACATCGTTAGCTTCCGAAAACCCTCCTTCAGAATGCTTCTAATATTCGCGGGTACTTACAGATGGTGGAAAAGTTCAAAAAGAAGCCCCAGAGGCAAGAAAAGAAAACGGCCGAGCCTGCGAGCAGCCATCCCATACTCTTCATGTACTGCTTGTAAACGGTACCATCTCCAACTTGCCGCGATGCATCCGCATTGGGGGAAACGGCAGCCTTAGCCACCTTTATCTTATCTACTGGCGACGAAGATTCCCGTGCGCTTGCTTTGATGCTGGATCTCTCCGAGGCAGTCTCGCTTTCAGACGAGGCTTTCAACCCTAGACGATGGACATAGCCATCACTAGACATTAGTCTGTCAAATGTGCCTTGCTCGCTAACGCCGCCGTCTCCAAGGGCGATGATGTAGTCTGCCGCCTGCAGGTGCCGAATGCTGTGCGTGCAGAGGACGACTGTGGTTTGGCGGCGCCTCAATAGTCCTTCTGGTCCAAAGACTTTGCGGAAGACTTGCTCTTCGGTATCCGCATCCAAGCCACTGAAGACGTCGTCGAGAATAAGGAAGTGGGTTTGTAGGTATAGAGCACGGGCTAGCGAAATGCGCTGCTTCTGGCCTCCCGATAGGGAAATGCCGTCGGAACCCACGTTTGTCTCATCGCCTTGGGGTAGTGTATTAAAGTCAAAGGTGAGAGCTGTTGCTTCAATCACTTGAGAATATCTATCCTCGTTTGCTGGAGAGAAGCCTACGATGTTCTCCTTGATAGTTCCGTTCATCACAAACGCAGCCTGGTCGCAGAATCCGACGTACAAAGGACTTGTACGTAGCGTAGCTGTGCCTTGATGGAAAGGGATTTCGCCGAGTAGCGCCTTGCAAAGTGTCGATTTTCCCGAGCCAACAGGTCCGACAACAAGGGTAAGTAACGATTTTGGTACCTTGGCGTTGATGTCTTGCAGGACAAATTTATCCTGTTCCCAGCCGAAGCTTCCATTCTCAATGACCGCTTCGAACTCAGATAACGGTTCACGGTCGAGCGAGTCCTTCTCGGAGCTCTTTTCAAAAGAAGCCGCAACTTTGCGGAAGTCTTCACGAGTTTCACACTCTATAAAGGCCTGGATTCGGCCAATGCAAGCTAGGGCAGAGATGACTTCTGGAATAGTCTGGAAGATCTGCGAGAGAGGCTGCGTCATAAGAGTCAGGAAGGAGAGACTTGTGAATACCTTTGACGAGTCTAGCTGATTCTGCGTGAAAGCAAACGTGAGAGCCGGACTGATAAGTAGCGGAATGAAGCCAAGTAGGGCTGCCCCAATATAGATCTTACGGTATTGAACACCCGCCGTAAGCTCCTCGACGCGGAGCTTCTGCACGAAGGTGCGAACGGACGAAGAAAGACCGGATATCTTAAGGTTTTTCATACTAGCAATGACAGTGGCTGTTAGACCAACGCGCTTCTGGACTAGGGACATCCATTTCCTCTGCGCTGTTCCGATAAAATTCATAAGAACAACAAGACCAAGGAAGCAGAGAACCACCATTCCAATAGGAGCGACAAAGACAACACCGAGTTGGGTGTATAACATCCAGGCGCATAGAGCCACTTGGATCAGACTGGCCCAGATATCATGTAGTTGTCGGAAGCCCATTCTTATTCGCTCAATATCGGTACTCATTAGGGTTAGCGCGGCACTGTCGTCGTTGGTTCCGATGCGAGCTTTTGTGGCTGTGATGAACGTCTCAGTGACGAGGATAGATCTTAGCATAGTCCGCATACGATGATGATAGTATCTGGTATAGAGGTTAATGTCGGCTAAAACAATTTACTCGATGATCAGCAAAGGCTCACCTGTGGAAGGCCCAGCTAACGACTACTCCAGAGTAGATAAAAAAGCTGGCGCCAATGAAACCATAGCCAACGTTGTAGTCGAGCTTATCATGTGAGAGGTAATTGAGGAGCCCCTCAATAAACAGTGGTTGAGCAAAGGTAAAGCCGAAGAGCGCGAAGCGGGGGATGATAGGCAGGAGAAGGGGCCCTATAAGGGTGCGCATAAGGACCTTGGTAAGACCATACTTATCGCCTTTCATCTTGGTCACATCCAGATGTCGAGAGAATTTCTCGTGTAGTCTTGTTGGATCCATGGCACCATCTAGGGGGTACAAATCATTAATAGCGAGAACATTCTTGTATCCGCTTAGGAACAGGCGGTTCAGCCAGAAGAAGACACCAAGGGAGAAGATCCCACTTGTTTCTTCTGGGCTATGCTCCTTTTTGTCCCAGTGAATCCATCTGGACTTTTGCTGAGATTCCAGCAGCAGCACAATGACTTTGACAGCCACAGCGGTAGTAAAGAGATTGCTATAGGCGCGTTCTGTAGACAGGGTTGATGACAGGTAAAGCGTCCTCGACTGGGCTGCATCGAGGAGAAGTGTTATGAGCAAGAATCCCATTAGCAGCATAGAGGGTCGAGCGGTTCGAGTGTGCTCAAAGACACTCAGAGGCAGCATGGCTACAGCCGCTAACAGTTTGAGGGCTGAAGTCGCCATAAACATGGGGCTGGCGTGAAAATGACCTGCGGCAGCCAGGATGACGAGCGCAAATTGAAGCAGGGCGTATGTTATAATGGCACCCTGCAGCATTATTAGCAACGTACTGCGTTTTTCCCAAATGAGGCTATAGAAATACATACCACTTTCACAAGTCGAAAGATGGAAGCATTGACGACAACAGGTTTCTGAGTCAGGTACACGGTCCTCCATAATGCGGGTACTATGAAGATAGCAGATGGGATGATAGAGAAGAAGACCTGCTCAAAGTCCACGTTAAAGTCAAACTGCTTGCTGTTCTGCTCGAACAGCGAGCCATTTTGGGATGAGAAAGGCATTCCGGGGTAGCCAACCAGTAGCCGAGATTAGCTGGACCACTCCCAGATGCTCTAGCGAAAGAACTATGAGACGAGGGGCCGGACAAAGCGACGTAGGCAATGGATAGGGAGAACGCAATGGAAGAAGGGGAGGTAGCAAGACGCAGGGAATGCCAGTAGGGGTGGGCAATCGGCGTTGCTGAGAAATCAAGCACCGAGGCGCGGGAGAGCGCCACTAGAGTGGCACGCCAAATGAGGAAAAAGCACGAAATGGAGCTAAAGGGTAGCAGGGATCTGGTGCCAGGGACCAGACACGGGGATGCATCGGAAATGGTCGGTGGAGCCGGTGTCAGCCAAAATCATGCACGGTCATGCTCATAATGGGTCAATGATTATGATTGGTATAGGACCCTTGACGGAAGATACCGAGTAGGATAGGGTCAACATTTGGACCGACTTTGTGTTTCCTATCATAGATGTGCCTATGGTAGGAGAAATAAATAAAGGATAAATAGAAAATAAAACAAAATAAAGTACGGAGTACAAGATCTGCCGCAAGTGTAGTGTAGATTCACCCAAGGGGCTGATTCGGCCGTTGTATTTTCATTTCACGTGTGAGCCAACATCGTAAAGGTATTTAACAAAATACAAATACTCCATCATACCACCAACTTATATCAATACCATGACATATATACAGTTGACGGAAGAGACATGGAAACCCCAGCCTTTTGTGGTAAAGGTGGTGGACAATCAAGGTATATATATACATCCCCAACTAAACAGGAGAGAATATTAGAAAAGATGTGATTGGAATACTAATTATTCCTTTATATAGATCCAGTAAGAGTAATAGCGCGATGGAATATCCCTTCGTCACCAAGAGATACAAAGGCTCCGGTCTATTATCACAGCATCAATATGCTGCTTAGGCTGTCTGGCACTACGAACCCTCGGGAAGCGGTCGATGCGTCTAGAACAGCCCTAGAAACGATTGTGCGTCACGCATGGTCATTTTCCACGAATTTTGTCCATGGGGAAGAGGTCATGATCAAGGTAATTCTAGCCGCGCATGATGGATATGTATCCAGGAGTGATATTGTCCAAATTCGCATGCAGCACTCGGAGCACGTCGACAGTGTCATTCCACTTTCTAGCTGGGATCGATTTATTTTTGCCACGGCCACCCAACCGGAGACTTCTTTGCTCGCGCTGCTGGCCTCTGCTACCGGGGCTCTCTTGATTAAGCAGTCGCAGTCGTCCACGTCCAGAGTGCTGCAGCTGTTGGAGGAAGAAATGGCCTTGCGGCTTTCCTTTGACTGGATTTTGCCGACAAAACCTCGCTCCTATCGTGTTGCACTCATCGGTGGTCGTACCATGCCAGACCCGCAGAGCGGACAACACGGTTCGTCAGGCTACTTCAAGGCCGCCCAGGCCCTCGGTATATCGATGGTGGTATACGATGAACCAGGACATTGGCTGGAAGGAGAGGAGTATGCCCATCTGCGCGCCGACTTTGTGCCAATAGAGATGCATAACCTTCAAGATCTTCCGCACAAGCTGGCTCAGTCTATCGCGAGCAGAAAAGACAAGATAGACGGCATTGTTACCTTTTCCGATGCGTTCGTAGTCGCCACTGCGCAGGCCGCCGACCTGCTGGGCCTTCCAACTGAGCCAGCGCAAGACATGATAAGGGCGCACCATAAGCACCAGATGCGCGAGGTTGTTAACGAAGACAGAATTCAGACCCTCGCGTTGGACAGAGCAGACCTGCTCGACGACAGTGTGTTTTCCAAGACGCTCCAAGCGCTCCAATACCCACTGGTTGTCAAACCATGTCGGGGCATGAAGTCTAAAGGCGTAAAGAAAGTCACCGACGAGGCCAGCTTGCGCGCGGCCGTGCGCATGCTGGCTGAGGACGATGACAACCTAGTCGAGCAAGGCATCCTGATAGAAACGTACGTCGATGGGCCCGAGTTTGACGCCAATTTTGTCCTATTGGAGGGCCAAATCCTCTTCCTCGAGGTGACGGACAACTTTCCCTGTCTTGCCGACGCCAACGGTGCCACGCTTGCTGACAACTTCGCTGAGACGGTGCAAATCTCCAACACGGCGCTGCCTCCGGACCATGTTGATGCTATACGCTCGTCCATATCGCGCAGCTTGGCCAAGTTGGGCTTTTCTTTCGGTATTTTCCACTGCGAGGGGCGCATGATGAGGTCGTCCATGCACTATCGCGAGCTCGACGGCCAGGGCGGACTAGACCTAGTCGCCGATGACGGGGCATCCCAGCCTGGCGCAAAGCCAAAGCCTGATGTTTTTCTCATTGAAGTCAACGTTCGCCCACCCGGTACCGGCGGTACGTGGGCGACACTCTACACGTATGGCGTAGATCTAGGCGCCCTGCAATTTCTCCGCGCTGTCGGCGATCAGGGTCGCTTCCGAGCCCTGTCTGCCCCATTTACGTTTTCGCGGTCGAGTCCTGGTGGCGGAGACGGTGCTCAGTGGTGGACGGCACACTGCATGGTTCCTATTCCCACACATCGTGCTCAGGTTCGTATTCCGGAGGATTTTTTCAGCAAGCTTTTTGAAGCGCTGCCCGAAGTGAGAAAGTATGTCACTAGGGCGGAGATGTATTCGGCCCCGGGATCTGTGGTGTCAACCACAGCAGGGATTGGTTGGATCGCGTATGTCTTGGTGGGGACGAGGATGAGCAGAGCCCATGCGCTGGCCATGTATCACCAAATCGCTGAGACGAGCAAGAAGATCCTAGATGCGCATATCTATGACTCTGGTTATGAGTCGTGACAAGTATATAGCCACCCATAGCAGATAATTGCTGTATTTGATCAACGGAACTGTTGTAGAGCCGTGGTTGCTTTTATGCACAGTGCTTCGACAAGTTCCGCAACGTAGTATAAACTTGCAATTGAATCTACAAATAAAAATACTGTTCCTGATACAAGTATAAACAATCAATATGATCAAAGGCCCTGGAGCATGCGACTTGTGTGCCGATCATGGGGCTACTGTCGCCTTGTAGCCTCCGTTGCCCACCAGTCTGTCATTCTCCTCCATCATGCCGGTCAAAAACTGTCCAGTGGCATCTAAAGTACTGGGACTCTTGAAAATATCAAACTTGAAATCATGCCATCCCCTAGCCGTCCATGCCCTACCCTTCGAGTCATTAAATGTCACGTCATCGTTTAAGCGTAAAAAGTAGGCAATGCTGTATCGATCCTCGTCCTGCTTGCCTTTTATCGGAATCACGCGATGTACAACGCTCGCTAGCTTATCTTTAGATGGAAAGCGTAGGCTGTCGCCGACGTTGATGATAGCGTGGCCGGGGCGAGGCTCCAGGAGCTCCCAGCGGTTGGTCTCCGGAGACAGGAACTGGAGGCCCCATTGCTGGGCGAGAAGAAAGGTAAGGGATCCTACGTCAGTGTGCTTGTTGTGGCCCAAGCTTGTCGGAGGCACGTCATCATCATGCTTTGGGTAGCGCAAAAGACCAAGGGTAGAAAACGAAGGCCCCGGGTCCGTATGGTAGGACTCGAAGCTGGAGGAGCCGCTAAGGCCAAGCTGGAGCGAGAGTTGCGCAAGGATCATGATCATGATAGCGTGGGCGTTCTGGATGAAGGAGAAGAACAAGTCTGACTGGGAGGATATAGACGTTGTGAGCTCCGTGGAACCTTGGAGAAATTCTCGGCGGGAAATCTAACGACGTGCATAGAGACTGATTAGCCAATGACGACGGCGAGAAGTGAATAGGATGGATCTTCGTACCTTGAGAGATTCATAGCCATCCCTCGTTTTGGGCATGGGTCCTTCTTCAGTGCCGATAGGTTCGTATCTGTAGAAAAAAACATAATAAGTAACCATGGCCCAGGCACGACTGAATATATTTCGGGAAACTTACCCGTAGTTGTCACTACCTTTGGCATCTTGCATCTTTACCTGGAGAGGCTGCGTAAAGTATTGCTTCATTACCAGCAATAAGTCTTCCCATTGTTTGCACAGTTCTACGTCACTGGTCAAATCAAGATAGAAGAAACCCTGCGTCTGACAAGCATGTAGTAGCTTCTTGCTCTCAGTTGCATTTCCAGTCCTCAGAAGGTCAAGATGAATAGTGGGCAGTGACTTAGAAACGACCTCATCGCCAGTATCGCCGATAGCCATTGGCGCCATTTTGGAGCTTCTAATGTGCTGTAGTGGATCACGAGGGTGTGTTTACTTGCGAAAAAAGTGCTGTAAAGTGCTAAGCTAGATAGGCGAGTGATTCATTTTTAGATTCGAACAAGGCTCAGCCTTTGGGGATACGGTCCTCGGAGCTATTGCGCTTTCGCAGAGGCGCAGAATGATCAGACAAGACACCGCAGGGTGCAACTATTCCACCGATGATGAGCGACAAGCAAGGTTGTTGTCGCCCGAAAGGCGAGCTCATACTAGCAGGGGAAATAAAAAGCCGGTCATGCTGCTTGGTCTTAGACCCTGTAGCAGTCAGGCTGCAGAGAATCAACTCGGCCATGACTGTCAAGCACCGTAGCCTCACAACTGGAACAGACAAAAAAAGGAAAGAAAAAAGAACGCTAGTCATGTTTTCCGTTTTCCAACCTGTAGATGCGGTGGGGACATAGAATATGTCAGCCAGACCAATGTCAGCCTTTGACCAATCGAGTTTCTCTAGTGCTAATCATGCAATGTCAGCCGTATCCCACACCGTCAGCCACCCTGGGATTTTGATTTCTTCCGCGAAGCTTCGTGAATAACGCAAATTGGGCAAATAACGTCCGAGTAAGATCTCGATGGATACGGGGCTAGGGGAAAGTGCCCTATCACCGACCTAAAAAGTAAGGCTGGAGAGGTTAGTTACGGCATCCACGATGGCCCATGCAATGAAACGGGTGGTTCGTAGTGTCAGACAAGACATAGAGTAAATGTGAATCCGCTAAGCTTTAAATGGATACCATGTACGGAATACTCCGTATTGTTTCCGGCACCCTAGCTAATGTTGGATCCCACATGGGAATGGTGGAATACCTGTGGACGGAGTTAATATAACATGGTTGAAACAGGGCGTTTTAGCTGGAAAATCGTCGAATCGCGATACAGGCGACATATTGAGATTAGTCGGATTATCCGCACAAGTTGTCAGAATTACAGATTCGTGTCATTTCAGTTAGGTAGCTAGGGTCCATACCATACATTATTATACTACCGGATTTCTATCAGTTAATTGTCCCATATCCAATGTCTTGCAAACACTTTCCATGGCAGTTGAACTATAGAATGGAAAATGTAGTGGAGGGTAAGCAACAAATTAATCTACCTGAGAAGCAGACCACCGATAGCCCTCTTTGCCGTAATCCCAGATCAAGCTATTGACTGCGTCAACGAGGCAAATCAGCTCCATCCATTAGCCGTCTGGAGCGCGTGGAACTTCCTCATGGCACTTGGTAGCACATTCTTAGATTCGCCCCGTTCAATTGCAAGCATCTCCTCCACCCATTCGCCGACGGCAGCGATGATCCTGTCTACCTCTTCCTTGGTGTTGTGCGCATGGAAGAGCATCCTCACTAGAGCCGTACCCTTAGGCACGACAGGATAGGCCATGGGGTATGCGTTCATATTTGCCATGGCCAGGTGGACAAAGAGGGAGAAGTCATGGCCCGGCTTGACCTTGATGGGGACGACATGTGAGACCACAGACCGCGCCTCGTGATCCTCAGCCAGGGGTACAGAGATGAGGCCCTCGTCCACGGCTTCCTGCCAGATGGGGTCATCAAGAAGCGAGTCGAAGAAGTACCTTACCATTTCTTGGATGTGGTTTTGCTCCTATCGTGTGTCGTTGTTAGTAAAGAAGTGGGAGCCAAAAGCACGCCACTCACCTTTTGCGTTTGGCCGCTTGCTAGCAGCTGATAGCCTGCGCGGATGGAAGCCACCATGGGGACCGAAGGCGCACCGCTATAGGTCAAGCATCGTGAATATTGAGCGAGAGCGCTTCGTACGGTTTGGTTGCAAAGGATGACACCTAGGGAATGCTGGTATCAGATCTATACCAGTTGGGGGAGCAGGCTTGACTTACCTCCGGTTGATCCTAGCGCTTTACTGCACATGTGCACGCGAATAGCAATCTCCTTTTCTAACCCCAGCAATTGTACCTAGGAGATTGCCAGTTAGTGGACATAAAGCACCATCTCGGGATCACGGAGACAGAAACTTACCAGTCCCGCTCCATTGGGGCCAATAACGCCGTTACTGTGAGCTTCGTCGACGATGAACTGGGCGCTTCCATTAGGAAATACTTCCTTGGCGACAGCCACCAGCTCTTTAAGTGGGCAAAGATCGCCCTCCATGCTGTATAAGCTCTCAACACATATGAGGATCGACTTTTCGCCTGAGGTGAAGCCAGAATCAAGCTTCTTGAGCGACGTCAAGACATCTCTCAAGGAGTCCGGGCTATTATGGGTAAAGGGGAGTTTGTGCGCTGCGAGGCTAACCTTCATACCGACGCCGGTGCTAGCATGGGAGAATTCGTCAAAGACAATGGCGTCTCCGGGTAGTGCGATAGCCTCGAGAATGCCAATGTTGGCGTAGAAGCCTGAGTGGCAGATCCAGGCGGTATCGGCGCCATGGAAGGCTGCTATTTCGCGCTCGACCTCGACAATGTACTCGTAATTGCCGTACTGCACACGAGATCCTGAGGCACTCAGCCGGAAATCGCCACAGCGGGCGAGCTCGGCCAGGAAGGCCTCGCGGATGCGGCCAGTGCGGCTGAGGGAGAGGAAGTCGCTGGTCGTGAGATCGAGTACGTCGTCGTCCCAGCGCGGCTTGAGCACGTTGAGGCGGATCTTTTCTCTATGGGAATCCATGGCCTGCTCAAGCCGTTGGAAGAACGCCGGCTCGGCCTTCTTCATGGCCGGACGGCGGAGCTGCTGGCCCTTCAGCATCTCCCGGAAGAGAGATTCATAGTAAACCATCTTGTCGTAAGAGGAGAGGCGAAGACGAGACGAAAGTTTCACGAAGACACTAGCACAAGTACAAAAGAAGAATTGGAAGCGAAATATATCCTTTAGGGGCGGTAGTATGTATACTTTTGCTAGCGATTTTCCGTCCCCATGCATCAATATACTGGGAATAGACTTTACTGTTCAGTTTAAAACGACAAAGGTATAGGCTTATAGTTAGGGATAATGGATTTGATTTGACCATCCATGAGCACCTAAATCGTGCTCAATTTCTAGTGAAATTCTCAGGGTGTATTCAGCATGGCGTTGCCAGCTTGGCTAGCCTTGGGCTGGCTGACATTGAGTGGCTGACAGAAGGTGTGTAGGTCTTAGCAAGGTTGGGTGTGTCCGTAGACCCTACCCCGTTAACCCCGGTCACTACTCCGTACCCTTGACAACCTAGGCGAACTGCATGTTTCCCCTTTTGGAAATTCCCGATTTTAGCGCTAAATATGGGTTGGAAATATTGACCATGACAGCTACAGCAGACAAGCCATATCTCTGCATCTAGGATGCAATGTCGTGCTTCGGTGTCAAAGTCTTGAGAAGCCAGAGATACTTGGTTTGTGCTGATAATTGAGCGGGTCTATTGTCATGTAACACGAGGCTGGCGGTGGTCATCCACTCTCAATATGCATACATATGTATATCTGTACATAAATGTATATATGAACTACACGGTCACGTTTGAGTAGACTTGACACAAGTGTGAGCCTCAACACTACTTGTTCTATTTTTTGTACTGATCGTGGCTCGTCTTTATCTCCACTGTTATTCCTATCCTTTCTCCAATTCACAACTTGGATATTTGACCAAGATGCCACTCCTCGACACCACAAACGTGGCCAACCCAGCCAACGGAACCAATGGCACATTGGGTCAGGACAAAATTATAGACAGTAATGGCCATACCAATGGTCACGGCAACGGAACGAATGACAAAAACGGTACAAATGGTGAACATGCCAACGGGCATGAGACAATTGAGCAAGCCAACGGCCACAGCAATGGTATAAACGGGAGTAGTGGTAGTAAGCCCACAAACCCGAGCTTCGAGCCTGTCGCCATTTGTGGCATGGCGTGCCGACTGCCTGGGGGCATCCGGTCTCCTAAGAACTTGTGGAAATTTTTAGTCGAAGGTCGAGACGGGCGCGGCCTAGTGCCTAAGACGAGGTTCAACATGGACGCCTACTACTCAGCGACGAAGAAGCCGGCGACGAGCATCACCAAGCACGGCTATTTCCTCGACGAGTCGGTAGATCTAGGCGCCCTCGATACGTCCTTCTTCTCTATGACCAAGACCGAAGTCGTATGGTTAGATCCGCAGCAAAGAATCATGCTGGAAGTGGCACGCGAGTCGGTTGACGATGCTGGCGAGTTCAACACCAGCGGATCCAACGTCGGTGTCTACGTTGGGTCGTTTGGCCAGGACTGGTATGACATCTTGGCCCGCGAGGCCCTGCAGCAAAACTCATATACCATCGTGGCGTCACACGACTTCATGCTGGCGGAGCGCATATCGCACGAGATGGATCTTAAGGGACCGAGGTATTCATTTTGCTGGCAGATAAGATACCAAGAATACTAACCTTTTTTGTCTCCCAGCATAACGGTCCGCACAGCCTGTTCATCATCTCTAGTCGGGCTCAACGAGGCCTGCATGGCCATTGCCAAAGGCGACTGCGAGTCTGCCATTGTAGGCGGCACATCGCTGATCCTCGCCCCGGATGTATTTACCCGGCTATCGTACCAGGGCGTACTCAGCCCAGACGGATCTTGCAAGACCTTTTCCGCCGACGCAAACGGTTATGCCCGCGGTGAGGCCGTTGTCTCGCTGTACGTCAAGTCGCTGAGCGCGGCCATCCGCGACGGCAATCCAATCCGCGCCGTGGTCTCGGGTAGCGCGGCAAACTTTGACGGCAAGACCAACCCATTGACGACTCCGAGCGCCAGCGCGCAGGAGGCGCTGATTCGCAAGGCGTACGAACATGCCGGCATTCAAGATATTGGAAAGACCGGGTTGTTTGAATGTATGTTGCACGTTAGCTCGCTGATTTTCGCTCGCCGCCTTCTGCTAACTTTGTTACAGGTCACGGCACTGGAACCGTCGCCGGTGATCCGATAGAGGCAGAAGCCATCGCGTCTGTCTTTGGCAAAAGTGGCATCTACGTTGGCGCCGTCAAGCCCAACCTCGGTCACTCAGAAGGCGCCTCGGGCCTCACGGCTGTTCTAAAGGCTACGTTGGCCCTTGAGCATCGCACCATCCCGCCTAATATCAAGTTTGCTCCACTCAACCCTCGCATCCCGTTTGCGGAGGCCAATCTGCAGATCCCAGAGGAGCCTACACCATGGCCTGCGGACCGTGATGAACGTGTGAGTATCAACGCCTTTGGAGTAGGAGGGTCTAATGCCCACGTCATTATCGAATCGGCGGCAGGCTATCTGGCTTCGCATCCTCATCATAATGCCAATGCCAATATAAATGCAAGCATTGCCCAGAAAAAAGCCTTCGCCACCAATGAGCCGCAGCTGCTCCTGTTCTCTGCTAAGACAGCCCAGTCTCTTAACGATACTGTGTCCAACTATCGGGAATTACTAGCTGAAGATGCGTCCTTGAATCTGGTCAACGTTGCGCACACGCTCGCCAACAGACGGGAGCACTTTAACCGACGCACATTTGCCATTGCTACCAACGACACGTTTGAGGTGGCTGCTGCGGCAACTTCTAAGGATGGTCCGGCTGTTTCGCCCTCGCTCATCATGGTCTTTACCGGCCAAGGAGCTGCGTGGCCACAGGTCGGGCGTGACCTTTTACGCTCTAACGCTACCTTTTCGCGTACTATCGATTCTCTTGGGAACCATCTCGAGAGCCTTGGAGCAAACTGGTCGCTAAGAGAGGAGCTGCTCAAGCCTGCCAGGACCAGCCGCATCCTCGACGCCGAGTTCTCGCAGCCGCTCTGCACGGCGGTGCAACTTGCCCTGGTTGACGCGCTGGCTGCTGTTGGAATCAAGCCAGGTGCTGTCGTTGGCCACTCGAGCGGCGAAATTGCCGCCGCCTACGCCGCGGGCGCTCTCACTACAGATGAGGCCATCGCTGTGGCATATCGTCGAGGAGCTGTCACCAAGCCCAAGGGCGAGGTCAAAACGCAGCAGGGAGGCATGGCCGCTGTGGGACTCGGCTGGGATCAAATCGAGGAGTTCCTGGTCCCTGGGATCGTAACAGCATGTGACAACTCGCCTAACAGTGTTACCATCTCGGGTGATGCCGACAAGCTCGAGACGGTCGTAGCTGCTGTCAAGCAGGCGCACCCCGACATCCCCACAACCACCCTCAAAGTCGGGCAAGCGTACCACTCGCACCACATGCTCGCCTTTGGGGACGCATATTACCAATCCATGATCGACTCGGGCGTTGTAGGCCGAGCGCCCACGGTTCCCTTCTTCTCCAGCGTCACCGGTGGGCGTCTAAGCAACACCAAGCTCAACCCACTCGGCCCCCACTACTGGCAGGCCAACTTGGAGCGCCCTGTTCTGTTTAAAGCAGCCGTTACCAGCATCCTCAACTCTGACGACGTGGCCAACGCCATTTTCCTGGAGCTCGGTCCACACTCTGCCCTCGCTGGCCCTTTGCGCCAGATCCTAACGCACGAATCGAGCAGCGCCTCTTACATCCCGTCTCTTATCCGTCGTCAGAACAGTGCTCAAAATCTGCTTCAAGTCATCGGAAAGCTTTACAGCCTTCACGTACCTGTCGACTTGCAATCCATAGTATCCGGCGGCTCTGCCATCGCTGATCTCCCGGCCTATCCGTGGGATCACTCCCGAAGACACATGTTTGAGTCACGCGTAGCCAAGGAGTGGCTCAACAAGAAATACCCCGATCACACGCTTCTGGGTGCCCGTGTTCCCGAGACCACCGACCTCGAGCCGGCGTGGCGTAATCTGTTGCAGGTCGACACGGCACCTTGGATCGTGGACCACAAGCTCGGCGACGACATCGTCTTCCCCTTGGCTGGATATGTGGCCATCGCCGCCGAGGCAGGGCGCCAAGTGTCCGGTATTGACGACGGTGTCAGCTTCCGCAACATTGCCGTCAGCGCTGCCCTGGTCTTGAGCGAGGAGGCGCCTACGGAAATTATCACCACTTTGCGTCGCAAGCGCTTGACGGACAGTCAGACAAGCGAGTGGTGGGAGTTTAGCATCGCGTCTCACAATGGCCACATGTGGACTAAGCACGCCTCGGGCGAAGTTAAAGGAGAAAGATTGGACAAGCAGCAACAAAAGCAGCAGTCGGAACAAGAGGAAGAGCTACCGCGAAAGGTGGACAGAGCCAAGTGGTACGACGCTACCTCAAAGCAAGGTATCACTTACGGGCCCACGTTTGCGGGCTTGGAGAATATTAGGTCGTCCACAGCCTGGCCAAACAAAAGCACAGCCACGATGAAGAACAACCGCTGGGGCGACGAGACACAACACCATCTCCACCCAATAGTTCTTGACACGTACTATCAACTGATGAGCTGTGCTCTGCACGATGGCCTTGACCGCGAGTTCCGCCGAACCCTAGCTGCCCGGATCGATTCTATGACCATGTTCCGATGCAACGAAGACAATTTGGATATTTCTGTCCGATCCGAGCCTACCAATGAGGGTTATATCGCCTATGGCACAGTTTCTGCAGGCTCCAAAGTTGTTTTGCAGGTTGACGGCTCCCACTCTACACTCTTTGAAGAGGCTGAATCAGAAGATGACAGCAGCAGCGGTATACCTATGACAGCCCGGGCTGAATGGGTACCTCATTTAGACTTTATGGATCATGGTAGCCTGATAGGAAATTATAAAGACCAAGACTCTATCATGGAATTGGTTGACCAACTGGTACAGCTGGCTATTGGCCAAGCTAACGCGATAGCTGAGAAGACTGCAACAGAACCGCCTGTTCCTCACTTGATCAAATACAAAGATTGGCTCAAGGGCCAGGCGTCGTCTACAGCCACAACGACCAAGTCCGTCGAGGAGCTTGTCGGGGATCTTGGCGGCACCCCTGCTGAACATGTCGCCACAGCAATCTTTGCAGTGACGAACAATATACAAGAGCTGCTTCAGGGCGACAAGACGGCATTGGATGTTCTCAACACCACGAATAGCAGCTTTGAGAGCTTCATGGCCTTCTTCCGGCAGCAGGTGGACTATAGCGAGTATCTTCGTCACGCCAGCCACACAAAGCCCAACTCCCGTGTTCTCGAAGTTGGCGCAGGCCTAGGAGAAAAGACGACACAGATGATAAAGCACCTCTCTCGCGCCGATGGCACTCCTCTCTACTCACGTTACGTCGCCACAGAGGCCTCCTCGGGGCTAGTCAACACGGCTAAGGAACGCCTTAAGGGGACCCGCAACTTTGAATTCACCACGCTAGACATTGCCCAGAATTTGGAGGACCAAGGCTTTGAGCACGGTCCATTTGATATTATTATTGCTGCAAATGTGGTTAACGCTACAGGAAGCCAGATCCAGGATACCCTGCGGAACTTGCGTCAACTACTTGCCCCCCATGGAAAGCTCATCCTCGAGGAACCACACACTGGACTCACTTGGGCCAAATTTGTGTTAGGCACGTTGCCTCGCTGGTGGTCCAACGCCGCGCATGACCTCGACCGCGTACATGAGCCATTCCTTGATCCGGAAAGATGGCAAGATGAGCTAGCGGCAGCTGGATTTGCCGTCGCGAATTATGTCCAGCCACGATCGGATGCACAACGCTGGACGACCAGTAGTGTCATTGTGGCGACACCTGAGCACCTTTTGGTGCCGTCGAATAAGCGCATTACTCTGCTTACACTCGAATACAACGCAGAAGCGGAGACCAGCCCAATTATAGAGGAGCTCGAGGCGCGGGGCTATGAAATAGACCGTGTTTCGCTGGGCCAGACACAGCTTCCTACCCACCAAGACGTTCTGGCCTTGCTAGAAGAAGAGCAGCCGTTCTTTGAGCAGCTCAACGCGGAAAGACTGTCACAGTTAAAGATTTTGCTTTCCAATCTCGCGAGCGCCGGTGCCGGCCTTCTCTGGGCTACGCGTTTATCTACAGTGGGCGCTGGCGACCCACGCTATGCTCAAGTTACTGGGCTTATTCGCACCCTGAGATCCGAGCTGGCCTTGGACCTCGGCACCGTTCAATCGAACAAGATTACAAATACCGCGGAAGCCGGTGCCCTGGTTAAAGTCCTCGACAGGTTCCTAGCCAGGAAAGATGAGGAGGGAAGCGGTAGCGAAAGCGAGACCGCTGTGTCGGGCCCCGATTTGGAATACGCCATACACAACGGCCAAACCTTGGTCAACCGTATTTTCCCCTTTTCTCTTGCACAAGAGCTCGTTGTTTCACAGGAGGCATCCGCCGAAGCTGTTGTCACGCAAACCATTCCAGGCCGTCTAAACACCATCACCTGGTCCAGTTTGTCCTCCACGGTGCCTGTGGGAGACGAAATTGAAGTGGAAGTGTATGCCAGCGGCGTCAACTTCCGAGATGTGCTAGTGGGCATGCAGATCATTCCCGGTCGCCATGATCCCAAATTTGGCTATGAGACGACAGGTGTTGTGCGCCGCGTCGGGCCAAACGTAACCAAGTTGGCCGTCGGGGACCGCGTCGTCGGCGTGGGTGAACGGACATTTACCACGCTGATTACAAGTCGTGAAGTGTACTACGAGAAGCTTCCCAGTCACATCAGCTTTGTTGAGGCTGCTAGTATCCCTACTATTTTCCTCACTGTCGTCTATGGCTTGCGAGACCTGGGACGCCTCGAAGAGGGGCAGTCGATCCTTATCCACAGCGGCGCAGGTGGCGTCGGCCTTGCCGCGATCCAAGTTGCCCAGATGCTAGGCGCGGAGATTTACACAACCGTGGGCAGCGAAAGCAAGGTTGACTACTTGATTGAGACGTTTGGCCTTGCCCGGAACCGTATCTTCAACTCACGAAACGACTCCTTTGTGCAAGACCTGCTGCGCGAGACCCAAGGGAAGGGCGTCGATGTGGCCCTCAACTCACTCTCTGGCGAGCTCCTTCACGCCACATGGAAGTGCGTGGCTAAATGGGGCACCATGGTCGAGATCGGTAAACGTGATCTCATTGGCAATGCGCAGCTCGACATGGCGCCCTTCCTGGGCAGCCGCAACTACTGCTGCATCGACATTGATCAGATGCGCTCCGAGCGCCCAGACATGATCAGCCGCCTGCTACGGTCTGTTATGGAGTACTTCTCCAATGGGCTTCTGCAGCCTATCCGGACAGACCGTGTCTTTGAAGGGTCACACGTCTTGGAAGCCTTGCGGTACATGCAGCAGGGCAAGCATATGGGCAAGATTGTGCTCGAAATTCGCCAAGAATCTTCCCGCAGGCTACTAGTCGATACCATCGAAAATGCAAAGACATCAGGCGTGGCGCTGGATGGACAAGCGTCATATCTTCTAGTCGGCGGGCTGGGTGGCCTTGGCCGCTCCATGTCCGTGTGGATGGTCCAGCGAGGCGCCAGGCATCTCACCTTCCTATCCCGCAGCGCTGGTAGCGGAGAACATGACGTCGATTTTGTTCGTGAGATGAACAGCATGGGATGCACAGTCCAGCTCGTCAAGGGAGACGTTACCAATCCCGAAGATGTCGCCCGGGCCATCAACGGAGTGCCAGCACCTCTCAAGGGCATTGTGCAAATGTCGATGGTCCTGCGGGACCAGATGTTTGACGGTATGAACATTCAAGACTGGAATGCCGTAACCCAGCCTAAGGTCCAAGGCACTTGGAACCTGCACAACGCCGCCCTGGCTGGCAACATTGATCTCGACTTCTTCCTGCTTTTTAGCTCCTTGTCCGGCATTGTTGGACAGGTTGGCCAGGCCAACTACGCCAGCGCAAACACCTTCCTCGACGCGTTTGTGCAGTATCGTTCTGGCTTGAACCTGCCCTGTACGGCCATCGACCTCGGCGCCATGAAGGGTATCGGGTACTTGTCCCAGAACAGCAACAGCCATCTCCTCAAGAAGATGCAAGGCACAGGATGGAGCGTGGTGCACGAGACGGACCTTCTTGCCGCTCTAGATTTGGCCATGATGTCTGTAGCAACACGCATCCAGCGTGGCAACAATACTGCCAGCTCCATTGCCGACGCTTTCCTTCTAGGCCTCGTTCCAACTGCCTCTCCGAATCGGCCTTCAAACGGCTCCCGTCTCAATAAGGACGCCCGCATGGCTGTCTACCAAAATCTCGGCAGCTCTGGCATCGAGGCCAAGTCTGGCTCCACTCCCGATGGCCTTCGCGCGTTCATTGCATCTGTCAAGCATGACCCGAGTGTTCTGCAATCTCTTGATGCTGTGAAGACGATCGCAGTTGAAATTGCCAAGAAGCTCTTCGCTCTTCTTCTGGTGGATGATGTGGAGGTCGATATCTCCAAGAGTACCGCAGATATGGGACTCGACTCACTCGTAGCTGTCGAGCTGCGAGCTTGGTGGAAGCTCAACTTAGGTTTTGACATATCGACGCTCGATATGTTGAGTTTAGGGACCCCTGAGGCTCTCGGAGAGCGTGCTGTTGATGGTTTAAGGAAATTATACGATCCGTAGAGTGTGCTTTAGTTATTTTATTGTATTTTCGTTTTCTTTTCTGTTTTTCTTTCCATTCGTTCGGATTGAGATATATATAAATACACATATATCTGTTCTTATGTTAATTTCAGTAGTTGATCATTTTATCCAAACCGTAACAGTTTCCTTTTGATTTACCATCCAGTAAATTCGTGCAAATCTACCTCTTATCTACTATCTTCTTCTAAGATGTATCAAGGTAATGTCCTCATCAGTGTCCTCTCTATAATTATGTCTGCCGCACTTGCACTGCCTGCTGCTAGTAAGGTGTATGCCTGTGAAGCTGCCAAGCAGTACTTCTACCCTCATGTTGTTCGGATTTCATAGAGAACAGTGGTGCTCTCCCTTCCCTTTCAATATACACAGATGAAAGAAGCTGACTTATAGGACGTTCGAGCCCAACACCCAAGTCAAGACTTGCGAGTTGAGTTCATTATGTACTTATGTAGGGATCATAGCTTGGTTGATTGTTCTAACAGGTTCTTTCATTCCAAAAAAATAGACTGTGAACCTGTTCAGGATCAGAATAAGGGGAAATATCAGCTTGACTCCATCTATTGGGGCCTTGACCATTGGCGTCTGCCTAGTGATTAGGTGAACTTTGACTTGGCTTGAAAAATGACCTGGTGATCTTATTAAAAGCAACATTGGAACCTTTGGAACACAGCAAAAGTAAATGGTCATATCCTTAGACCTTTCATTCACGAAGCTTCCAAGGTTGTTCACATCGTTGTTGCCCATTTTGTTTGTTTCGATCCTTTGACCGCCCTGGATAATCAGCCGCGTGTACACTTTGCCGCTCTGACACCTCTGATCATCCGCGAATCCCCCATCTTTGATCTTCAGCTCTTGTTTCCCCCAGTTTATTTTTTGCTAGCCCACTATGTCGCTGGGCGAGGAGCTCCGATCGCGCAATTTCAGTGAGTACCTGGATTCTGCGGCGCCAAGTCTCAATCTGCTAACCTTGCTGGCCCTTTCTAGGCATCTATGGACAATGGTTAGTCTATCACGTTACCCTCCAACTCCCTGTGCTCTTTGTGAGCCTGAATACTGTCGCAGGAGAGCACGGAGTACTTTGCTGAAATGGTTGAATGGCGTGTGCTACCTCGTGTGGTGGCCTTTCAATCACTCTCCCGAAAATCAGTCCTGCATATAAAGCGATCTGTCTAACGAAACATACAGGACGGGTGTGCTATGTATTATCCTTTGCCTTGCGCTAGGAATTGCGAACATCTTTTCGTTCAATGTGGTTCTGATTATCATCAGTGTCATCAGCATGTGAGTCGCATTCATTTCCTATCAATTCATTCCGAAGCCTAACTTGTTTCAGTGCCTCGGCATTCGTAATCCTCTTCATTGAAGTACCCTTCCTCCTCCGAATTTGTCCCACATCCCCGACATTCGATGCCTTTATCCGCCGCTTTACAACCAACTGGATGCGCGCCCTCATTTACGCCGTCCTTGGTGGTATCCAACTTATCAGTCTTGCCGAACGTGCTTCTAGCTTGATTGCTGGTGCCGTCTTCCTCTTCATTACGGCTGTGTTTTATTCGCTCGCGGCCCTGACGAAGCAAGAATTTGTTGGTAGCAAAACGCTGGGCGGCCAGGGAGTTGCGCAGATGATTGTCTGATGGCATAACGTTCACGCCGAGCCATTCGAGCCATTTTTTCTATCCCAGCTGGACCCGTTTGGGGATTAATACTGGTGATTGGAGGGCTGTGCGACACGATGTGATGCTCAATACAAGATGGCACAGAGAAAAATGCCATTGGGCAGCATGCATTGGGATGCGCCATGAAATAGTTTTGTGTTTTTATTGTCCTGTACTTGTATGTCTTGGTTTAGTTCAGGATGATCCTGCCGGACATGTCTGTTTTCACAGTCGATGAGCGTTTCTACAGCAGATATATCCGTGGGTTCCTTCCTTTTTGTGGACTGTGTCCGCCAGAATAGGTGTTCTGATTAGTATCTTAGCAGGTGTATTCATTGGCCAAGCTTAATTTATCCAGAATATCAGATTACATCCGTATAAACCCAGCTGTGTGTTAAATATCTGGAGGAGCAGACGCTCTTATGATCCTCCTGTGGTTTAGAACCCCCCATTTCTACAGATATAGAGTCCAATACCTGGGGACCCAAGGTAATAATGCCCAGGCCCATTAGGTACATCTATAGTATCTCACTATGTGGGCAATACCTATCCCCAGGCTAAAACATATATAGTAAGAAATGCATCTATACCCGCTTGGCGCTGAAAGAGTTCCACAAATAGGACCAGGGAATAAATGTAGATTACGATGTATTTATTTACTAAAACTACATAGTCTTGAATGTTAGCCATCCATAGGCCGATCCGAGACCATGTAAGTTATACATCGTATGTATATGTACTCTATGCGTCGTAGATTTGGTAATTCGGATGCTAACAACCTCGGAACTGGTCCAGCTGGACTCGGCAGACATAGGTAATTCGTTCAGCTTGCCCCGCACGGGATAAGCCGCCATTCTGGCTTGAATTGTAGATATAGACCACCGAGCCCAGGAACGTGGCGCAAATGGGGGTATGGACCTTGCAATATTGATCACAGGTCATGTTACCCCGCAAATTCTTTTTTAGCCCTGGTGATCAATATGTGGCGGGTATTCTCGCTGTTTCGGTTGAGAGTGGATCTCAACGTTGAACAGATAAGTGCGCCGTGGTGAGTCGAAGGGATGACAAGGCTAAAAGAAAGAGACACCCGGAAACCGGGCTCGCTAATCATAGCGTGCACATATATATTAAGAATGTCCTGTGGTATTTAGAGTGAAGTATACGATGTTAAGAGCTACCTAGGTATGTTGTAAAAGTTATATACAGAGATAGCGATGATGCAATGCGGAGAACCTTGACTCTTCACCGCCTCGGCCTGACCAACCAATCCAACCGCAGGGAAATCATCTTATCAAAAGTAAATGCCCTAGAGGTCAAAGAACACCCCCGATATCAACTTGGAAGTTCTAGACTTCTCTGTATAATACTTTGGGAGGAACTCGATATTTTTAGATATCTTCTACAATATACCTTCCAAGGTTTGATACTTGGATGAGATGATCCCTGTACAACTCAATGTAATGCTATAGAAATGAGGCATTATTTCAAACCAAATCTTGGTCACTACATATGTAATATGAGCTATTTGTAGGAATAAAAGAAGAAAAATGCCTCAACATTCAGATCGAAAATCAAGGCCTTATGCTGATCTCATAGGCGGGGCATTGAATGCAATGGATCGTCGTAGTTGGCTCTTCTATCTGGCCTGTAATGATACAGTACCAGTACGTTACGCCCATTATCTGTTGCGGTCAGAGCACGTCAGGCGTGGCAGAAAGAGCATACATCATCTCTCTTTCCCAAAACTTAGTTTCGGAATTGCTTCAATTATCTGCTTTGCAGTTTTTGACTGTTTTGATTGCATGCTTTGACTGTCGTTCCAATTGGATTGAAACTGGTTCTCACCATATCTGGGTAAGCAAATCATTCTGTATGCTCTTATCAGTTGCATGGGCTGGCCCGTCTGCTCCTGAAAGTCTTGCATCAAATTAATGCATATCCAATGTGGTTGCGCCAATCCCTGCAAGTCGATTGGGGCCGTGTACCCATTGGCTTTTAGCCCGCACAGGGCCAAGCATATTCGTGGGGTATCCGGTTGGGCTGCTGCTGACCTGTTAACAGCTCCCAGAACTTCGTCATGTCAACCCAAGCTGCTCCGACCATCCCTCCTCGACCGGCTCGGTCTCCCAAACCGCCATCGTCGTCTTCTTCGTTAGAAATGCCCAAAATACCGCCGCGTCCGGGCAACCGCCGCAATGATCGTTCCGTTTCACCCTTGCGTGATAGCTATGCACCTTCCCCGTTCAATGAATGGACCGGTCCTAGCATGGGCCGGACCGTTTCGAATGATCTGCCTCCACGTCCTCCAAGTGTCACGATACCGTCTCTCGGCGAGGAGGGTATCGAATATGCGGATCTCGACCCGGGAAACGTGTCGGATAACCACCACCACCAGACACCTGCGGAGACTCGCAATGTTAGCAGTGATCTTAAGATCCATGCACCGAGACCTTCGTTGCCGATATCAAGTGCTGAAGCAAAAGTCCAGGCTGTCACCCGCACTGATTCCCGACAGGCTGCTGCGGCAGGACTAGGCCGTGGCGTTTCGCCTGCTCGCGAGGAACCAGAACGCTCAAGTCGTTCACTACATTCCCCAACGGGTGGCTCACGCGCTGAATCTTCAACTGCATCCAATGAGCGCAGACACTCTTCTCATGTCGGAGAGGAGCAGGGGTTCCGCGTGCCCATGTATCCCCATGCCGGTGACGTTCAGGCACCATCCCCCAGCCCGTACCTCGAACAAGGCTCGCAGCGGTCGAGCCGTAACCACAATCGCACTCGTAGTGCTCGGGACTCTTCCCTACCCCCTGGTAGTTACGGTTTGCACGGACATGGTGTTCAGCATCCCGATAAGTTTGAGAAGGCTTGGTATGAAAAGCATCCCGATGAATTCGTGAAGGAAGAAGGCCAATACGGCCCTGGTGTCGGTACTCCGCGTCCTGATTGGGCAATGAGTAGCGACGATCTGAACAAGATTGTTCGAAGCTCGGCCCAGACCGGTTCAGGTCTTGGTGAGTATTTTGAAGTCATCGTGTTTTTTGGCTGAAGGCTAATTGCAGTCAGGCACTTCCCCTGCCGTTGTGGGCACACCTGAAGAGGAAGTCGGGTATATTGCGTCCGACGAGTACATACATCAAATTGCTTCTCCCTCTCCTGACGCTCGAGACCCTCGATTCGAAAGCCAGCCAAGTGTTGAATCGCCACTTCGGCAGATGAGTTTCCCTTCAGAAGCCACGCAGAAGCAAAGCACCGCAAGCCCGTTGCGCCAGCGCAGGTCCAGCTCCCATGGACATCACGATAGTGGCGTAATCCATGTGGATGATCCGATGCATCCTTTGCACCACCCGGACGGGTTTGCCCCAACCCCCGCACTGGAAGAGGATGAGCCGACATATGAGAATGCCGTGGAGGAGGAAGAGCCAATTTTAGCTGCCGATGAAGTGCGCCCTGAGTCGGCGTACTTACATCCCGCCATCTCGCCAACATTTGATCGTCGGGCAAGTTACGAGGATGATGGCCGCAGTCGAACCCCCAGTGTCTCGCACAGTCGTTCCAACAGTCGATCTGCAAGCGCCCAAGGCCAATTCCCCGTGCTGACCCGCTATGATTCGCGAGAGGATACGCATACACCTCTCGAAGACGTGGAGGAGTATGAGCCGTTGTTCCCCGAAGACGATGCTAAGAAAGAGAAAACCGTGTCAGCTGCAGATCGTTTTAAGAAACGTCCCGACACACTCAAGCATAGATTCCCTAGCCAGGATATCTGGGAGGATACCCCGAACAGTCTGCAGCTCCATGCTACCGTCACCACTCCAGATCTGCCTAAGCGAGACTCTTCTGAAATCTTCGAGACACCCGAGCAAGAGGCCACACGCAGGATGCAGAACACCAAAGTCGATTCTCATCAAGTGGCTGCCCACATCCTGGAGGGTGAGAGCGTCAAGGATAAGGTCCCCGCGCGACCAGACACTTTGAAACAACGTTTCCCCAGTAGAGATATTTGGGAAGACGCCCCCGATAGTCACCAGCTGGTGACCAGAATTGAGCCCGCAAAAGAAGAATTGAAAAGTCCGGAAGTGCCTTCCAGGCCTGGAATCCCCCCGCGCCCGCAAAGACAGCCTCAGTCTATCTCACCGACCGAGAAGCGCCAGCCACCAACAATCCCAGAGAGACCTAAGCCCCAGGTCCCTACCCGTCCCGCTAAGTCCAGCTCCCAGGCCACAACAGGCACTACTGAAGCCCCGAGAGAGGCTCCTGCAGTCAAGGCCAAGCCCGCTATACCCGTTCGTCCGGGTGGAAGCAAGATCGCAGCTATGAAGGCAGGCTTCCTCACCGATCTGAATTCACGTCTGCAGCTCGGTCCACAACAGCCCAAGCCCCAGGAAAAGGAGCCCGAAGCGCCGGTTGAGAAGCAGCCTCTGAGCGATGCTCGCAAAGGAAGAGCCCGTGGCCCAGCACGGCGCAAGCCAGCCGTCGAGAAACCCACTTCCAGGCTCCCCACTATACCAGAGATTAAGATCACGGAAGCTTTGAATATTTGGCAGGTCGGCCAGGATGGGAACCTGGTTGTTGGGACAGGCAATGACGAGAAGAAGCCTTCCGCTTCAGTGAAAGAACCATCTGTGCCTGCCGAAAACTCAATGGCCCCCTCACTCGCCAAAAACACTGCCGGCGAATCTGTAGACCCAACGCCTGAATCTCCCGTTGTGGAGGACGTGACCTCGCCCGTACCCACAACAGCGGATGTGCAACCTGTACAGACTCCAGCAGAGACCAAGGAACCGGCTAAGTCATCTCTAGTTCCAACCAAATCAGCCGACAATGAGGAGGAGGAAAACGACATGGAAGTGACAAAGTCCTCTGAACCTGCGTCTGAACATGCAGCTGTTGCCACGGCGATCACTGAGTCTACCTCGACTCCAGCTAAACTGGATGGTGCCCTGGAAGATATGACTGCGTCGGCTGACGGCAAGAAGGAG